ACAAGTTTACCATCATTTTTACATAATCAACTAACAATGTTGTAAAGATGCAGGAAATGTCAAACAAACACTTTTACGTATCTTATTAGTTCAATAATGAGACTGTTAACATGCCTAAGAGTTGAATCTGAGGAAATGTGAAAAAACAGCATAACTTCTAAAATAATGCCCCGATTATGCTGATTTTCGAACTCAACCTGCGTTTTAGCAGGATTGATCACTCCTATGAGTTTCATGACAATCAGCCAATCTGTTTTTCTTATATTGTGTTTACAGTGTTTCATATATGCTGAAAAGTGAAAAAACAGCATAACTTCTACAATAATGGCCTGATCATGCTGATTTTCAAACTTGACCTGCGTTTTATGAATATTTATCAGCTCTGTAAATATTAAGCCAAAAACTAAAACTGCCTTCCACTTATCGTGTTTACAATGAAAGTGCACGGCGACGGCATCGGCATCGGCATCGGCATCGGCATCGGCGACGACGGCGACGACAGACGCAGGTGATGGCAATATGTACAGACACATCTGTGTCTGTACATAAAAATGGCTTTCTTAGATATCATATTTGTGACTATGAATATAACTAGTAAAATGACTCCCAACATGATAGATTATTGATTGTGATATAACATAAAATTGTCTACAACTAACCACTCAATGTCTTTGAATAGCAGGTAAAAGAGTTATCACATTTTCACCTTTCCCTCAATTCTTCATACATATTACTTATGACATAATAAAGAAGATTTATTGTACAGAATAGTTCCAACCTCGAAAGAACAAAGAGATGGGGATTGTCAATTTTAAATAGCACTTTTTCTTTTCATGCTTACCAACATACAGACATCCATAGAAGGCAGCAATCAAGTCAACACCTGGAATATTTCAAATAATATAGTTATTTCCAACAAGCAATATACTTTGTATTTTCTGCACACTACTGATTTTCAAATTTAAAAACATATTTTTCAACAAAATATACCTTATGATTCAGGAAAAGTTAAAATCTTTACTATGTTAAAGCATGATGCTCATTAGGTTCCTTTGGATTGAATTGTCACAAATCAATTGTTTTAGGGTGCATTCCCAGAGATTTAGATTGATCCAGAGATTTAGATTTAGATCGACCTTACTCCCTGGGGGTTCACGCTAAATTGCAGTCAGCCGAGCACGCACCACAGTTAATTACCCCCTTACAGCTTTTAGTAGGCAGGACAGATGCTTAAGCCGGCTAAGCTGACAGTAATCTAGTGAGACTCCCCACAGGGGTAGATCGATCTAAAATCTATGGGAATGGGGTCTTAGATAGGACAACCTTGATGATTGATAATAAATTATTGAAAAATCCAGAAAAATTAAAAATTTGCTTTACACAGGTTAAATGCTTATTGTGTGCCTTCCACATCATCTATTTACCTGGTGAGAACACCAAGGCCACATGGTCTCCTGTATTGAGTTTTCCTCTCTCCACAAGTAGACAGCCGATCTTCTCAGCTTTCTTGTGCAGCTGCATGCATGTAGTGGTCAAATGAGGCTGACCCTGGTAAAATGGAATTATTTTCATAATTTTTGACTTAATTTAATAGATTCTTTTATTAAATTTTGGATAAAAAGTGCCATAAGAACCTATTAAAAAAGACTTATATTCTGATGATGCCAAATACAGACAGTTGTAAGAACTGAAATTATTTCATTCTCATCTTAACAAAAAAGTTTTTTTTACATGTGTCAATGGAGTGCATATATCCAAAAACCAATTTTCACCATAAAGTATAGACATGTTAATATTTGTTCAGTTTTCTTTCTGTCAGTATCTCGGCAACATGTGTGATCCTCACCTTTGCATTCATCACTGTGAACAGTTGGTGGTTAGGGGTGGCCTCTGCCCGCCAGCGTAATATTTCAGCCAGGAACTGATACTGAAATCAAGAACATTTTTGTTTAAAATTGGAATCTCCATTTAAGAGGCCACTTAAAAAAATTATTTAAAATATTAAATATTTAATGTAGAATAAATACCAAAATCAATGCAATGTTAAATATTTATAAGTCTTGATACATTTCATAGCTTTCTTTTTTTTTGTATTGTACTATGACAATGCCGATTCTATATTTCATCTAAGAATTGTAACTGTGAACACTACCATTCTCAACAATGAAAGTACTAAAACAAGTTTTAATTTCTGATGAATAAATTCCTGTCATTCATTCAATTTCAAAATCTAATACATTGTATGATATTTCTACCTTTTTTGCTGAGTCGCTGTCATCATCTAAGTAGCCAATATCTCTTCCCTGAGCCCAAGCCAGCCTGGCCCCCTGGACTATATTACCTACATACATAGCAGATGCACCTACATCTGGAACAGAAGAAAATGGCGTACCCATAACTTGACATATACACAACTGTTTAATAAAATGTAATCAGGGCTGCATTAAAATGTGCTGAAACAATGATTAGGCAAGAGTCAAGTTGTTGGAAATTCAAAATCTTACTTTTCTATTTATATATGACAATGTGATGAACTACGACAACTTTCCTCCACAAATTTTAAATGCCTCTCTTTCTTATTCTAAAAAAAAAAGGTCACATAAATAGTGCCCTGTGTTCTACTGACCCCCAGTGTGATGTTCTCTTGGTTTTGGCAGGTTGGTAACACAGGTATGTGGACACATCAGTACATTGGCTGGGTGGAGAGATCCCTCCAGGAAACGCTTCTTTGTCTCATGTATGTGAATACCTCCCAGAGGAGTCTGGAAATATACAAGACATCAAATATATGTCCCATAATGTTATTTTCATATTCTGGCTATTTGTTCTTAATGGTATAGAATTATAAAAAAGATGATAATTTTTACAAGCAGAATTTGGGAAGTTAATTCTACAAATAGGCACTTTTTATGAGATCTGTGAGGGTTTTTTTTCATGCCTGCTCAGAAGCTTGATCTTATCTTGAAGGAGACACAAACAGTGTTGCTTACTGCAATCTTCAGTGAGATTTAATTCCCATTTTGTATGAGTCACAGCACTACCTTTAAATGCTCAGAATTATCAGATCTGGTTATGTAATGTGAGAGAGACAGGTGTCACCTACCCTGGGTAGATAGTTAGGTGGGACCAGGGCCAGACAGTAGACCCCAGCCTGGTGTATACTGTCCACAGCTTGTAGCACACGGCTCATCCACTGGAAACTCTGCAAATGACCAAGAGAAAACACCAGACATCAATAAAATGGAAATCTAAATTACCAGGCTCAAAACTGGAGTAATTATAAAACCATACTCATTTTTAAGGCATGAATAGAACTTAAAAGACCCAAATATTAAATTCAAACATTTTTATTTCCAACACAGATAGCAGAATCACAACATTTAGACACCATAAATGGTCTTTGTTCAAGAGAACTTCCAGGATACAATAATGTACAGGTGGGGAAATTGTATCCTTGAGTTATGAAAATTTGTGAACAAAACACCAACTGTTACCTCTTCTTCCGAGCAGTCTGGCCTCTGTTCTGCTATCACCACAATGCGCTCGTCTTTTAGCACCGTCATTGAAAACACTGCAATCCTGGAACAGAGATGACGTGTGTGTAAAGTACAAGTTTCAGCTTGGCCCTAATGGTAGAAACTTTGTTTAAAAGTAAAACGTGTCATCAAGGCGAGTCATCAAAATCATATTATTCCTCATTTATAAAATGGGGAAACACAAAGCTGACAGAAAAATAACTCTTAGGAATCTAACATACATAAAAGTGCTCACATATCTGGTATATGTATGTTTGATATACTCATCAGTATTCATATATCTGTATATTTAGCCTATGGGAACATTCCTACCTCCCCCTGTAAATGAACTTCATAGGTTCCACTGCTAGAACTGTTGCAATGATGTCATCTGTGTTGTGTCGTCTGCCAGTAACTGTCATTAGCCCCTCTCTGCTACCACACACAAATATCAATCCACCCTGGAAACAGCAGTTATAATGCTCTCTCTTCAACCATCAACTTATTCATATTTTCACTCATATGATTTTTACATCCAGCAACAAATACATTTGAAACATTTTTCAAAATTCAGATTAGGAACTATAAAGTAAGGTATTAATTCCTTACCACTGGCACATGCCAGTATTAGCAGCAGTACAATAAGACCTGTAGTTTTTTCATACATTCTGTAGTTTACAAACTATGGAGACTTGTACTTACAGGACCCAGAAACCCAAGTAGCCCAGTTTTAACAAACATGTGGTTCTCTCTTACTGGTCTGCCATCTACAGTGAGGGGTTGAACCTGGAAAAAAATATCAATTTTTTTTAAAAAAATATTCTACATCATTGAAAAATTAAAAACATTTTCTTTTGACACATATGAAGGCCATGACAATGACAGCTCATCATTGTCTCAATAATAGTACCCTTCATACAAAAATCAAGTTTCTTAGGTATAAAACAAATAGGCATATAAAGTGATAATGAAGTTAGCTGACTATTAACTGCAATAAGGATCTAGTCAGATAATATAATAACTATAATGTATATCACACCTTGAAGTAAGTACTTGTAATGCCTTGCAGTCCCCAGTACCCGGAGCCCGAGTATGCTGCACTGACACACAGCTCCCCAACCTCATCTGTTTTGCATAGGTATGGGGGTCCATCAATGCGCACCACAACCATTGTAGCTGGCAAAATGAAAGTGAAACCATCAATGTTTGGGAGGAGAATGCTACAGAATTTAAAAATCCTAGGCAGGGTCATTTATAGATGCTACAATGGCTAATGTTTGCTGGATTCACATAAATAGAAAAACAATATTTTAAAAGGTTTATTCCAAATTTTGTTATTGTATCTAGCAATACAGTTCCAAATATTATTATAGTATTGTTTCTTACAAACATATTTTGCCCCAGTATCTAACAATACAAATCCCCAATTTTGTTAGAGTATCTAACAATACAAATCCCCAATTTTGTTAGAGTATCTAACAATACATACCACCTGGCATAACCTGACCACAGTCCTGTAAAGTGAGAGAGGTCAAGCTGTTCTCAGAGTCCACCCTCACAACACCATAACTTAACCCCTGCATGGACAACACTCCTCGTCCTGTGGCACTGGCACTGGTACGACCAGGTCTGAAACAGAAACAGGAAGTTTATTTCCATCAAAATATAGAGGACAAAAACCATCAAGGAACTTCATCATCCATATTATATAGACTAAGTTGCAAAATCAATTTCTTAAAACAGGTAAACTCAAGGTAAATTTCATGTCAATAATTCTCAAGTAGAGGCTACAATAAAATCATTCTCTGACTAAGGTGTCTTGGTAAACACTGATATAATAAGAGCTTATAGCTCCAAATTAAGCTGTGGTTTAAAGGGACTAGTATTGTAACTTCGGTTGAGATAAACTTTTAACTACAATGTCCACATATGTTAGAGAAAAAAATTGGGACATTTTTAAGCAAAATATGACAATCAATCCACTAAAAGCCTTTATTACATTTCTAAATTGATATGTAAAATACCTTCTAACAGAGACTGTCAGTGTTTCTGAAGAACTTGCACATGGGCATATTGCCTCTGGGCGGAGACCTTTGTTTTGGAAGACATTCAAGAAAGAATCACAGGATGTCAGCGACCCTAAAAAGATAACAGAAGGATAAGTAATTTAATTAAGTTCTTGTCCATGAGTCAAGAGTACCTTTAAATATTATTTCCTCATAGTTTCTGTTTTAAAATGGCCTTTTGAAAACCCTTATTTCAACAAATTATAATATAGGGGTTGAATGGAAAGCATTTCCTTCCGTTTATTTGTCTCCTGCAGCATACGACATCAAAAACAAATGGTTTCATATCAAAAAGGTTTGCTTGGCAGCAGTTTTGTCTCCAAACTTCTTCCTGTTGATCAAAGTTAGGTCACAGATCACGGCTATGTTACGTGCGTCTGCTAGAACTACTGATTACAGGGACATTTGACAGATTAGGCAGGGGCCACATCAAAGAAAGAAACAAACAAAAATGCTAAATCTCTCTTTTCTTCTTAAACAATATTTTAGGGCCCTTTAAGACTGCAATCTTATACTGTACTCTTATATTTAAAAAAACTTGTTTTCAACCAATAATAAAACACTTAAATAAATAAATAAATAAATATTATAAATAAATAAATAAATAAATAAATAAATAAATAAATAAATAAATAAATAGTATATGACATATCTTGATATCTTGAAAGCCACACAGATATGTTTTGTCATGAACCTAAACAGACATGATGGCGATGATATTATGACAACTGGTTGTCAGGCCAGTAATAAAGACACATCAAGATGCTACTCTATAACATGCTTTGGACTGGTTCCATCACGTCAGGCTTGGCACACTTTGCTCACTTCAGAGATGGTGTATTGCATAAAATATTAGCCATATCATTACTTGTTGAAGTTTGTAAATATCTATCCCACATAAGATCCAAAGGTGTTTTTAAAAAGTTGCAAACAGATCGAGATAGTTAATAAAGGCCATATCATATCATACCAGCTTGTCTTAATAAATACTTATCTAATGCACACTGTTGCCAAAGTTCTTCATCAAATTGGCTGGTTTATACATGGCAGTCACATTCAAATCGTAAAATATTCATGCATTTGAAACTAATTCTACCATGCATCAACGTGCTAGTCAAGTCTCACACAATTCAACTGTTAACACTCCTTAATAGCAAGAACACAAATTAAGACATATATTAAAGGTATTCAGGTAAATGCTTTGATGTTCTGTATCAGAACTACAGAATTCAGATTCAATCCATACAACAATATATGCTTTATAGCCTCATACAAAGAATCCAGCCTCATTCAGTAGATATCAATCTAGATGACAATAGATGCAGTTTATCTCACACCTTGAGGTGTACACGGCTCATCCGAGTACAAACTCATAATGTATTCTACATCACTCAGAAACTGACTTGCACCTACAGATACAAAAAAACAATGACAGGGTCCACGGTATTAGTGACAAAGATTGAACTACAACACAGAAATGAGCCATTTAACAGAACATTAATGAAAAGGTACAAAGTATCCTAACTAAAAGCTTGGCCATAAACACTAAATACATTATTTCTTCCCCAATTTACAGCTGCCACAGAGAATTTTTTTGTTTGTAAACAGGAAACTTCCCTGGAAAAGTGCCAGAAATTCGCTACCTGGTTGGTGTTCATTTCTAACCTAGCTAAAACCACAGGAAGGGGTATACACCACTTAAGTTCTTAGAAGCCATTAATGTTAACAGGTGCCCTAGGGTATGTGTCTACTTACATGGGTTAGCACCATCAGCCACCAACAGCATACGTAACGAGGACAGGTTGACATCTTTATGGTCCTTCTGAGCTAGCAGGCCCCAATGCATGTCCCGGGACTTCACCACTGCTATTGTTGCTATAATAATAAATATAAAAACATGGCAGGGATTTCTGCTAACTTTTGAAGTACAGTATAAATTCTGGACACACAGGTTTGATGGTGGCTTTCCAAATGTGTTCAAAAACTGCATCTTTAAAAGTAAGCATTAATTTTGGAACACTCATAAAAATGTTTCCAAAAATTATATTCTGTAGTGCAGCTATTGCACACAACAAAAACTTTTGTCTACCAATGGGAGCTTTTAGTAAACAGGTTTTTGAACAATCCTCATTTTCTCATGCAACACTGACCTTTAAATCTTGTGACCATCTTCATCCAGGAAGCAGGGTCAACTTTCATCAGAGAATATGGGACAAAGATTACATGCATGCCATTGAAGACACTCTGAAACAGAACACAGAACATGAAGTAATCCTATTTTAAAAGATGGACTTGGAAAAATATTTTTGCTTAAGAAAAGAAATTGTGCTGATACATATCAAGCATGTTGATATTATGAAAGAATATTGATATACTTACTGTTAAAATACCATGCCATAGTCCTACGTCTTTCTTGAAGTCTAATACACATACCATAACCTCCCCTGAAACAATAAAAACAAGTTTATGGTTCTATTTTTTCTTTCTTTTTGAATTCATTTTGAGATGCACTGTGAATGTAATTCATGTAAAGTTGGTATAGGCACAGTATTAGTTCTGAGAGAGTCAAGGGGGTAAATGTGACCATACATTACAACAGCTCTTTTTCTTTTTGTAGGTTTCACCTGTATTGAGGCCAAGTTATAACATCTGACCTGTCATATATTCAAGATGACTGTGGGTCTTTCTGACAAATACAACCAATTAAATTACAAAAAAGAAAAAAAGAAAGAAAGAAAGAAAGTGGACAACCATGACCACACAGTCACTCGTTTTATTCTGAGATCATTTCCACACCTAAGACTATTATCAACAATGACTGCAGTGTCACTAAACAAAGATTGTTGCAGAAAACATTATGAATCAATGTTTAATTTCCCAGAGGAGAGGTATTATTTGCTGGTCTGGAACAATACTGATTATGGTCAGGAAACAATTCATAGACTATTATTTATTCTCTTATTCACTTAGAGACTCATATTTAGGTGATTTCTGGTGGAATTAAGTCAATACAAAAAAGAGAAGTCTTTTGTTCATTACACCTTTCCTGTTTGCTACTTACCTTCTGTATAATTACAAGCTACAGTGAGGGTTCTACAGTGACATAACATATTGTTCCTAGTGACAGTAACCCCCATCACACTGCCATCTTTACCACCATGAGTATACTGGAAAAACAACAGAAAAATCCAATAGACTGCCATTATATGCAATATTTTTTGTTCATATTCTATTTCAAAAAGCTTTCACAACTGTTTACCAAGAACAAAACTTTTTTCTCTTTTTTTTTTATTTGTTCAAATTTTGCAAACAAAAGTTCTTTTTCTAGAACCATTTCATTATATAATGTCATTCATACTGCTGGAATCAACTGACATATAAGAAGAGACTGTATGTAAAGCATACCTCTATATATGCTGGGGCTTCATCAGACAGCCGGGGAGGAGGGAGCCAGTCTTTAGGAGGTCGACTTAGGTGCTCTGTTACAAACCAGTGAAGTTTAGGCCAGCCTAAAACATTTTAACAAGTGTGAAATACTTCCGAGTGAAAAATATTTATTTTATAAAACCCTGGCTTTATCCTTAGTTGTATTCCTAAAAGTAAAAGAAAAATCTAAGAATGAACTTTTTTCTTCAATTTCTGTTGACATCTTTGTATCTTATGACTTGACTTGTTTTTAAAGCCTTCAATAATACAACTAGCAAGTTTACCTCTGAACTGCATCACGTCCCCAGACTGTGTTTTTGGTAAGCCACGGAAACATGCTTCAGAAGTTAGCGCAACATTAACATTTAAAGACCCAAGCAAGAAACCAATGCCTTGAGCCCCAGCATCCTGGAAAAAAATAAAAAAAACATCAATGTTCAAAGATCCTTTACATGAACCAGGACCTTGACAATGGTAATTAAACACAGAAGAGAGGGACAAACTCACCAGTAACAGGGAAATTTAGAGACAGATTATAAAATAAAATGATAGGCAAGCTAAGTTGCACAGTGAGCAAATAAACTATGAAATTTAAGAAAAACTTTGTGCCCGACTGAAAGACTTTTCATAATTTTTAACTGTCGTCTTACACTTATAGGGACAAACTGAAGTTAAAATGTAAGGAAAAGCTTCCACCAGATGAGTGCAGTTATTGGTCTTAACTCCAACTATAAGAAGCACCACAATCCCCCTGTGCTGTCCCTCTTTGTTGGGACCCACATTCCACCCACCCACCCACCCTGTACTTACCCTCTTTGATGTGGGCACCTCTATAGGGACTGGGGCCACTCCAGCAGCTAGGCAGCCATAAAAAGCGCAGATAAAGGAACTGGGGTCATGGTTTGGATATACTAATGCAACCTGAAACATACCACAAAATCATTATAAATACATGCACTGTTTTTTCCATGCTGTGCATTCATTTTTCGGGGAATACTGATACTGTTGTGATTGTGACAAAACATAAAGGGAAACATCAAATGTAAGTAGAATCCACAAAAAAATATCATTTGCTTCATCTCACACCAAGTTTATGTCATCTCTCAATTCAAATCCCTTTTTTTTTTAGATCTAATGTATCGATATGGTTACTTACAAGTTTATTAATTCACATCAAACAATACAACATAAAAACATAAGAGTCACAATCCCACTTACTCTATCACCTGGCTTCACCCCTGGGTCCACCTTGCTACCTATCTTGTGTAACAAGTTGTAGGCTATTTTCTGAGTCCTACTCAATAATTTTCCTAAAGGTGAAAAAAATGAGTACAAAATAAGGTATCATAAATCTCCATCTATCTCAACTCCCTGCACCAAGTTTACATGACCCTAAACAACCGAGGGACTATTATCTTTTAAGGCAGGTGCAGCCAAGGCTATTTATGAGACACTGGAATGCCAAATCAACCTAAAACACATAAATGACCTGGTATATGCTCACTTTTGATTTATTACAGCTGCCATGTTGCACTGCGGGTAAGAAAAGGGTAAACATAAAGATCTGATATCTTTTTGAGATATGTGGATTCAAAATAGTTCAGCATTAACAATAGTTGAACTGAGAGTGGTTCTTCGTTTCAGCTTACCGTATGTGAGGGTGGACGTGGGCCTCCCATTCTGGTCTAGTGTGGTAACAGCTGCAGCTTTATAGGAGGCAGATCCATACCTCTGGACTGCAGCTTCTAGGTTTCTGGGCAACCCAGATGGAATCTGGAGATAGAATAGCAAAGTAAGGATAGCAATCTGAAACCACAAATTTAGAGACGTAATCTGGGATTCTTTGTGTAATCTGGGATTCTATAAGCAAACCACAGGGAACCTTGAAAGTATTATTGATAAAGTTAATATTTAAATGTCACTTTAAATTAACAGCATTCCACTCACGATTAACTGCTCCCCAATGGCAGGAGAGATGGTGCTGCCCTCTGGCTTGGGGGCATTTGGATCTGATGGTGGGACTATGACACAAGGGAAAAGGAAAAATTAATGATCCTCTTATACATATTGACCCTTATACATGTAACAGGTTTACTAAAATTTATTTATAATGAAGAAATTCTTGATTTTTTAAAAATTTCGTTTTAAAAATCATTTTAACAATATAAAGTGTGGTGTCCATAGTGAAGAAAATCAAAATTTAAGTGACCTAATCTTACCTTGGAGTTCATCTTCGTCGTCTACAAAATATTCTTTTAATGGCTTTCTCTTGGGCCTCTGAAATTGATGTTCAAAATGTGTTCATATATAAATAGTTCTTTAATTATTTTATGTACTAACTGCAAAGTCCTCTGACAAAAATTCAATATGATACTGAGTTGACTGAGAATTGAACATTGTAGACCTAATCACTTCAATTCATGTGAAGAGATCTCTGATAATTTATCAGGGTCCATGGCTTACCTTTAACGTATTGAGCAACTGTTGAATCTTAGCAGAAACTTTGCCGTGACTCTTACCTAGAGAAAAAAAATACCAAACACATTTAGCACTGTCTGTTGCTATTCAAGGCAATGATAAGTGTCTTTTGCACTAAATACTTTTTTCATAACACCTTTCTCTCCTTGCTTTCATTTTCAGCACATTAATATATGTTCCCTCATCAAATAATAATAAGAACTCTTCTCAACCAATTTATTCTCATGAACATGATCAATAAAACTATATTAACAGCCACTGCTCACTCATATCTATCCAAGAATAAGTTCTTCAAGAGTAGTTCAATTTGACAGATGAGGCCTATTAAAAGTTCATGGCTGTCAGACAGTTGACATACGCTTATACTTATGGGATTTGCCCATCCAATTAAAAACTATCCAGCCCTTAGATATTGTAGAAACAAAATGTACCAGCCGCTAAACAAATGCCCGTTTAGTACCTTTTTGAAATTTTCCAATTAGGTTTACTGATCATGAGCTATCTCACAGGTTATTCACCTGTTTACATTATTATTTTCATTATCAAGATCTGCTGCTATGGTAATATCAGCTTATTCACTCCAGTAATCTGCTAGACTCTTCTCTAGGTAATTCTCTCATCTTGAACCATGCATTATCATTACAATAATGTCTAAAATCAATCACAGCTCAAGCCCACGCAAAAACCACCCCAACAGTTATTTCAGTCTAGGTACTCACTTTCATCAGACATCCCTGTGACAGCACCAGAATGTGACACACGCACGGAGGACACGTGTGCATGACTTTGAGCATTGTATCGTTGCTGCACGCGGTCTGCACGGGTCAGAGTACTGGTGTTGCTGGTAATATCCGGGGGCTGCTGGAAATTTTGGCCTGGAATATATTTCAGTTAACGTTATCAGTACACAATTTCTTGTTTCTCAGCACATAGCCAAACCAAGCTTATAATACCACATGTATATATGAATGATGAGGATACTACAAATTTACTCAGACAGCCAGAAATATGTGCAGCTAACTGTGACAATCTACCAAAATAATGTGTTGCTGAAATCCACTTAATCATAGAAAAGAACATAACAGCAATGAGCACTGCTCTTTTACATTTAATATTGATAACCAAGAAATAATCACAGGTCAACACAACAACCACTGAAGATCAACACAAAAGCATTGCATATAAATATAATATATATATATATATATATATTAGTAAAGGGGGACAACTGATACATTACCTGGGGTGGATTCCCTCATAACATCAGCTAAGCCCCCCTTGGATCCTGGAATATTCAGTATGGCATAGGCACTACCTCTCCTGGGCTCTATCCGTACTCCCTGTGGACGTAAATGCTGGGAAGAGGAGGAGGAAGAGGGCGTCTGGTCACCACTTCCACGCCTAGAGCGGTCATCATCAAATACACTGTCATCATCTGATGAAGAGTCTGGAAGAAAGATTCAGATATTATTACTACATATATTTACATACACACACATTTTTCAATTGCAATGCACCTGCACATATGGATCACTGCTTATTTTATCCTTGGGAATTTTCCTGTAATTCAAATACAGACATCAAACATTGTAAGCAAATAATAATTTCATCGTTTCTATGCTGCCCCTTCCTCCCATACTTCTATTTGATATTTGTTAATACATAACTAATGCAAAAATGGACGTGAAATGGTTTAAATCTAAAAAAAATATATTGAATCAACTGAAAGATGAAATTCAGATTCCAGCATGTATCCATAAGAGTGCTATTTACACTTGACCTTTTATGTATTTTAAATTATATCCTATTCATTTCACACTTTCATATCATAACCCTACACCTGTCTTAGGCGAGTGAATAAAAGAGAACAGGTGTGAGAGTCTATGTAATCACGAATTTCAAAATAAAATGAAAACTAAGGAAAAACAGAATATATCTATAACCATATATCACTTATTTATCAACAAGGTACCTATCAATAAACACAATAACCTTTCCTCTGCTATACCCCTCTTTTTTACCTTTCTTAATATCCAGAATTTTAATGGGTGAAAGCCCTTGCATTCCCTGGTCTGTCATATTCTTCTCTACACTGTTAACATTAAGTCACCCTCAAAATCAATATCACACCACAGAGCAACCCAAAGAGAAAAAACACTCTCTAGATGCTGTAGGAAAGCAAACAGAAATCCAATTTCAAGTCATTTCCATAGAAGAAGTATATGCTTTGTCAGAGATAATGTGTATTATTTCAATGGTTTTATGTCCTTCACGTCTTCATATTATCTCTTTTCTATCTAGAATAATTTGTATTTAAGCTTCTCAATGGCGAATAATTTGAGACTGGACATGATCAATTCTTAGTATTTTTCAAATCATAGCTATCAAAAAGGCTGATTATTTATGTTCATGACACTGGCATTTGCGTGCCGTCAATTTCAATTTTGAAATGAGCCCTCTTCACACAAAGGTTCTATGTACCCAGTGGCAAGCAAACTGATACACACAATGAAATAAAAGGACATAATGCACTAAAATGAACAAAATGTATAATGTCATGTTTATCAGGAGAGAGTAAAGTAATCACACAGTAGATACATTAATAGTTGATAACCCACACTGCATACTTACAAAGCCAACGATTTCGCAAGAGAGTGTCTGAAAGTGTGGAAGAATTCCTTCCTGTCAATAATAAAGAGAATTGTCATTGTTATCTCTTTTTCATTTTGATGAAAAATTATCTTTACTGGTATGTTTACCACAAATATATATTGTGTCCTAACAATAAAAATTTAAGCTATACAGGGACAAAATTTAGGCTTACAGCTATGACCACTTTCCTATCAAGCTCAAAATAAATTAGGAAAAATTTTAGGGGAACAAATGTCTTCTTTGTAGATCAAAAGAGTTTCCCACATCATCCTGTTATATAATCTGCAGAATTGCTAGTTGTCGATTTTAATCTCATCAATTCATAATAAATGTTGTTTCAGGAAAGAGTAATTATGTCTTTTGAGAAAATAGGTTAACTATTCTACAAGATCCCCCTTCCTATCCCTTCCTTTTATCTTACCTTGTGTCATTACAGAGACACACCTTCAACACCTGGCCAAGATTATTAAATAGAAATATGATCTTTAAACTTCACTTAACATTATAACGCTAATCACTTCCTATACCAATAAAGACATGTTGGTCTACTTGGGCACCAGCTCCTTAGCCCACATGGCCTAATATCCTGGCCTAAGTGTGTAATCCTATCCCACTTAAGCATGCCACCCAAACAGGTGCAAGAACATTTCTGCTGTTACAGTGTTCAGGTAGAACTTCAACAAGCAGGAGAAACCCCAAATACACATTAACTATTAGGGGTTCCTGTCTAGCCTCCAGTGCCTTCATAATATAATTAAAGAAGTAGGCCAGAGTTATAAAACTCGTTGTTTACCATGACATTTATCCTTCATAGAAGGATTGTTGTGTCTAGGTGAAGTTATTCTAATGTTTACCTTTAGACTGTTTGTTTAGTAGTTATTACCAATCATGCAGACAGCATTGCAGTCAAACTGGTTTCCCTTAAGGAAAGATATGTCATTGCAGACATGCAGATATATTAAGATATAACAGTCTGAGTTAAAGTCTTGCATGTGAAGGTGTGTCACTCAGACCCTGTTTCACTGATTAACTGTACAGCATGCCTTATGCTATATTCACCCTGGAAATCAGATATAGCACCTGGTCGCAATCACATATACTTACATTCATAGAGAATGAGTGACCGCAAAGAGGAATCCATGACTGTTGCAATGTTCCGAGCAGATATATACAATAAATGTCAGGAACTCTCCCACAAGACCACGCAAGTTCATCTTAAAGTCAGTTTCCTCATTTTCCCAGACAAGTTGAACCAGTGATGCCATACACTACATATGCGGTATGCTGGTAAGATTTGCAGGCATATTAAAAATGACCTTCAGTCTTCCCAGCATCAATTTTCAGCCTAGCTGGAAGCAAGGCACCAAAAAGTAACAGTTTCCTCTGAGCAATGGCTTATATCAGCTTACACCAGCTCACATATATCTTTATCCCAAATTGACACCCTTTACAATGGAACTTGAAAACAAAACACAGACGTCTGTGCATGCGTGAGCGACTAACGAAATCCATCCATCCTCCCCTGCAGATTGTTTAGCTCCTTCTCCTTGCTGCTAATTAATAAGATGACAAGGATGCACATGTTAACATCAGTTAGGGGCATTGACAGCTCACTGGAAGATTTGTGAAGAAGAAGGGATCCTGCCGTCAGTGCCAGAGAGGGAGGAATTCACAGAAAACACCTACCTACTGGTTTCTTTTGAGATGTGGTGGTAAAAAAAACGAGATAATATGTTGATTACTGACTAAGGTTAAAAATATAGAAAGGCACAAGAAGGAGGGTTTCTCACAGTGTTCTGGAAAATTTTTACCTGGCAATCAAAACTACAATTTTTCCTCTTTCTTTAAACATGACAAAAATCTTAATAACCCATCAGTGAGAGGTTTTTAAGCCTACTGAAGTAGGTACGTGTAGTGCTCATCTGATAAACAAGAATAACATTCTGGTTTCTCTGATTCAAGTATGAAGAAAAATATGCGTAACATTCTACAAATCCAAAGTTTAGTCTAATAATAAAAAGTGAATTAGAGGTTACTCTGGGCTAACAGATCTCTATCTCTCAAAACAACGAGCTTTGGCTGAATAAATCCCTGTGGAAATAAATCACATAACACCCCACAGCTCATCCCAACAATCACAACAAAAATTAAATGAAATGTCAACTTCCAATATTTTGCTACAAAGAGGTCCCGATCTTCAACCTTCAGAGCTTCAACTTCCAGAGTAAAATCACTGAAAAGAATTATGTATCAAAAACATAGCCCAACCATACCAACAACAGTGTCAGTGTTACCGTCCATTTTTGACATTCTCTCCTATTATCCCTGGTGCAGGTATAGTTACAACTAATATAGACAGAGTTCATATGTGTTACAGATATAAGTGACCTAGCCCCATAAATTTAAGTCAGCCCCTCCTATGATAAAAACAGAAACCACAAAATCTTTTTTTTTTTTTTTTTTTGTTTGTTTAGAAATGTTTTTACAAAAGACCTCAAATTGAATAGATATCTAAGTTAAAATAGTTTTAGGTGTGGGATCCTCTGTTACTGATGATATACTGCTTTTTCCATAAGTTTGACTAAATCAGATATTTCTCCAACTCACTTTACAAGTCCTGTGAAAATGAACTGGCTCATAAAAAAAGACAAAAAAATAATAATAAAATAAAAATTAACTTTTACTAACACTAATCAAAATGTCTCAAAAGAGAAAACAATTTTTGAAAATAGCATTATTCTGAGACCATGTTTATGAGGAAAAAAATTCAAAAAAACAAGCCTACAAAAAAGGACCTAAAAACCAGAATTAGGGACCTCCTGAGAACAGCAACCATGTATTTGCCTGAGGGTCTTCACCAACCTACCGACTTTGGTTTATATTGGGAACACAGCACAGCACACAGCAATTATGCCCCACACAATATAATGAAACACATAAATACATTTTCATTGGGCTTAATGAACTCATTTGGCAACAACATTCATGCCAAGGAATCCGAGGAAAGAGATTAACCTAATAACCTGCAACAAATTACAAATATTTATAAACCTGGATAACATAAACTGTGGTCTTAGTGCTAAAACTGTATCAAGCAAACATCTCCATTAACATCAGACAAAAGAAAAAAAAACATTCAAAATACTAGAGACAACTTGAAATTCAAACTGTTGCCATCAATCCATAATTATATCCCCACAGCCTTTTTTTCTACAACTGGATTTCCCTTCCAGCATGAAGTCTCTCATCCGAATAACAAAGATAAGAGGGCAACCAACCTAGTATGCATCACTACAGTGCATTTATCAAAATGCTATTTTGTCTGTGCTACATATATTTTAACAATGATTCTATATCGACTGGCTAGTGAATATCATAACTACAGGTTTTTAAGCATTCTTGTAACAATATTCAGTTTAAACTAACTTTTCAACTCAGAGATATAATTTTTATCAAAATTTGGCTCAGGATCTCCTTAAAAAGCACAAGACTCAGCCATCCTTAATCATGACAATGCAATTCCATGCTGTCATGTGTGTCTATGACTAACCCATCTTCAAACCTTGTGTCCTTGGCAAGCTGCCACTACTTACACTTCCCTGTGCTCATAATGCAAATAACACTTTTTTTTTCAGTCACATTCATATCCAGGCTATCTTAAACCAGATATCCCCTAACTAACATCACTTATGCTCATATTATATAATAAATATGATTGAAATTAATAATTTTAATTTTTAATGATAATTTTAATGATAGGGTATCTATTGGACCACATCAAGTCAACGTTAATAAGTCTCAAATGGAATGACTGTCCAAGCAGGTTGTCTGGGTATGATTACATTATTATAGGTAGCCAATCTAATCCTTCTGTCCCAACCACAGCCACCATAACCCCAAAGGTCTTATGTCTAGTTATGATTAGGTCACTACAGGTAGCCAATCTAATCCTGTTGTCCCACCACATACTACTCTCTTCCTAATCCAGCCAAATCTTGAATGATTTTATGCCAAGTTGTAAGACTTTAGACTATCTTTTATGATTCTCATAGAAGCAAATCACAAACTGTTAGATTGACTTCTTTTGGCAAGCTTATCATAATTATATGGTCTGCTGAAATTTCTGTTGTTCCCTGAAAGGCTGCTTCGAATTGACTGAAAACAAATGTAGTTAAGATGTGAACATAGCCCAGCTCATCCATTTAATTTGTAGAAGTCTATCCAGATATATGCAGTCCATCTTCATACATTTGGACAATCACATTACCCTGGCTGGCAGATAAAACTAAGAAATAATTCCCCAGTGACATTCTTTACCTGTTCCCCTTCGCTGTTCTCTTCTGTTCGGACTGTATGCTGACACTCTCTTGGAAGGCAGAGGCATAACAGGTACTCGGGGTCCATGGAGAGCCAGAGCCTGCATTACTGCTTCTGTGCGGATTTCTATAAAAAAGAGAATGCAAAAATTAAACAATGGGATGAAATCCCATAAAAACAACAGACTTCAACCATGTACTGTAATACCAGTATTTCGGCATATTAGTGAATATTTTCCACTCCTTGCATTTGGATCACACACCAAGTGCACATGTCTATTCCTAGAACTGATAAAAGTGTAAAATCAAATCCTACATCTTTGATATTTGGATGCAGATCAATGAGTTGCTTGAGATCACCACAATCACTAGGAAAAAACATCATAAAACAGAATATTTCATCCTTCATCATTGCATTTCTGAATGCCAAATGTGACATAAATTCCCTGAAGGGAATGTATAATAGGGTGGATGTGTATTAGTTGTACCCTTAAAATTGGAAATCAATTTTCTCGGTGAAATCTCCATGTCTCTGTCCATGACGTAAGGAGAAGACTTAACACCTAAAGCATGCTTACATGCAGCTGCCTAGGGAGGATGCAGTGTTCTATGCACCTGATCACAGGAACTTACTTATGTCAGCGCAAAAGCATGCATTAAAACTGACCTCTCCCTGCCCTAATGTTCAATTTGAGATTCATCTAATGACATTTTTTTTACTTTAATTCATTCAATGTTAAACACTTATGGATTTGCTTAACATCTGCTGTTCAGTCGTTACCTATATATTCATATTACAGAGGAAAAGGGACAAAAAATATTTATACAGCATATTGTGTAGAGTTCACACTGTCTAGACTCTACACAGTTGTATATTAAATTCAAGAATGCATGCTTGACTTCATAATTTCATAGCCAACCACTAAGCCTCCCTTACAATGGTAATTCCATGTTGATTTTTTATTGTGACATTTACAAAACTTAAGTACTAAAGGAGATCGATTCACATGCACTAGTGCATAAAACATTTATATTTTACCCTAATGAAAGCAGCATGAAATTCTTTTGTTCTGGTAAGATATTATTAGGTCACTTAGATGCCAACCACTGCAGTAAAATGGGGGGGGGTGTTGAGGTCATTCTATTTGATATAATTCACACATGTCTGCGATAGGCTATAACTGGTACTATATACTATTGAGCACGCAATAACAATATAACTTCTACCCTGCAAGTGTGACATTGCAAGTTCTTATACATATGGATCAAAAGCCATTTCACCAACATATATACAGGCAAGTGCTCTCATCAATACAATGTATCCTATGTTAACTATACAAGTGCTCTCATCAATACAATGTATTCTATGTTCACTATTAAGAAAGTTGAAAGCCTTTGGCTAAACAGTGTTGGAAAACAGAATCTTGTGTTAACATTGAAAACACTGCATGCACCACAAAACTACAAGACACTTTCGAATGAACTGTCTACCCACAATCAATATTTTCACAAGTCCGACACAAAACCTCTCATTTTCTACTGAAATTGTGCAGTTAAATGCCCATGCACTGTGCACAACAAACCAAAAAATGTATGATGTTGTTTAAGTTATAGATATGAGAAACATGATGCCTTTCCCTCTGAAGTGCCATGAAATCATGCATCTGGCCTTGTCTTAACCCCTGGAAACTATTGCTGGAAATTGTTTTTCAGATTTGACCTTGTACATATATATGTATCTGCTGATATCTATGAACCCAGACTTCCTAAACATTATCAGAAGAGAGAAAGGAATGCCCATGCTCTCCATAGGATATTACTGACCATACAGGTAACTAAGGTAGTTTGATGAAGGATAAATATTCTATTACACGTTCAGACTTTTGAATTATACTCTGTACCTCTTGTAAATTGAAAGACTTTATTTGGTCAAATTACAATTTCAATCATCTATACTGCTTATTAATGGCAGCAAGTTAACGTACTTGAGCCTGTTCAGTCAAGAAAGAAACTAGAATGATATGCACGAATTTCAAGAAATGTCACCAATTTTCCGTTTTTACTTTTTCTCCTTCTCTTAAAAAAGAAACTAAAGCAGGAACAAGTAAAAAAGAACAACACTTGTTTATATAAAAAATAACAATTCACTAAGAGACTTTAGACTTTGAATTAGACTAACTTACAGCAGCAGATGGCAAGATTACATAGAGGTTTCACTAGCTCTAAGACATATAAAACCCCTGATAAATCAATCTGGTCATCTGCTGACTTTGGTTAGTTGTATAACTTTAGTTGTCTAAAGCTGCCCACATGTGATTCTGTCCTGTTATTCCAGTGTCCCCATACTCACCTGACTGGTACCTGTTATCCTCCCGCGTGGCTCGTCTGGATGCCTTGCGCTGGGCTGCTGTGGCCGGGCTGGGGTTCTGTGGACCCGATACAGCTGTAAACAAAAATGGGCATAGCTTAATTGGCGTCTTTTTTCACAGCAAATGATTGATTGATCTGAGCAGTGTAGTTGGTGCTATATGGGTTTACAATACATGCATGTACTCAATATTACAATAACACTGGTAAAATTCAGTCTTGCTAAAATACAAACTAATGCTAAGTTCTACTGGTAAAAATCAGGCTTGCTATAGGAGTTTAAAAAAGTAAATCAATCTATCAGGTTGAGGGAAACTTTCAGTCAGTATAATGCACACATATCTGGCCATATGTCACACATGCTTCCTGTTTGTACAGACAGCTGAAGTAGAAACCTATCCCCCTCCTATTAACCATACTCCATATACCACAATATCATACAATGACCAATCCGGAGAAAAATTGTGAATAGCGACAGATGTGCAACTACTTCAATTCTATTCATTCCTGATAAATTCTTATCATGGGGAAATATGGTCAAAATTAAATCTCAATCAAATATGGTTTTTGCCCTGAGCAACTTAATTGAAATATTAAATGTGGATAAGTAGGGTCTTGTATGACCTAACAGAGGGTACCTTTATTAGTTCTTCATAAATTTTTTTCTAAGTGAATGTCTACATCAGATTAGCATTCATGACGCTAACTTTTAATTGATAAAGTGCGATATAAAACAATGTTCTTTATACAGAAAAAAGCCTGCTTCTTCCAATAAATTTTTTTGATGAAAATGATTGCAATACAGTGAAACGTAAAGCAATCAAATGTGTGTATGGCATGCAAGTCAATCTGTAATTAAGAACCAAATCATGTCTATGACATCTAGATTGTAATATTTTAAGGTAATGGGACATTTACCAAAATGAGGCACTTGTAACAATGAAAAAACATGATAATTAATGAACAACATGTCTATTTGGCCCATTCTACCTTTTGTTACAGCCCCGCTGGCCATATATGGTTGAAGTAGGCGAGCCCGTTTCTTCTCAAACCCCTTTTGTGTGATGTCTCCTGAAATAGAAAGAAAATCAATAGTGAAAAGAAAGTTCAAACTGTAAGCTGTTGAATAATGGAGAGATGCTGTTGTATATAAGCTAGGATTTATGAGGGTAAAAAGGACAACTTGTTCAAATATGACATAAATTTCTATTTCATAACATAACATCAGTCTAATTTGTAGATACATTCAGTATGTATACAGTAGAAACACTGTTACCTTAATGTATACAGAATTTTTTCCTCAACTGATTAAAACATATCATTTTACATAATTTAAATCCATACCATCACTTGTACGACAGACATCATACCAGTCATCAATAATATTATAATTATTATAATTATAATTAAATCTTCTCATTGATGATTTTAAATAATATTAATAATGAGTTATTTAAAGCCACCCTCCACAGTCATTTCAGAGCTGTATGCAATGCAAAGGTTTAAACTTTAAATTCCAAAACATACCATCTAAAATTACCAATTATACACATTCTTAATCATGTATCATTTCAAGTATACCAGGAAATGCTCAATGCAGGCAAAATGAAACCATCCTTCTCTCACAATCAGGAGGTATTCTGTAAACAACAGTGTGCCACCATTTTGACTGAGTTAAAGCACCACCCTCATCAGCATACTTCACACCATCACCAACAGCTTTATTTCTATCAACACCTATCTACCATTAACATTCTCACTGTTCAAGAACACTGTGGCTGAACCTCAATTTGGCCAAAAATGTCAGGTGAAGTGACACAGGTCTGTTTTTCTCCAATTTTACTGATCACCATTATCACTGCTATTTGCAATGGATGGCTAACAAGACTAACAGCAGACCATGACATAGAAAAGTCCATGTGAGAAGACACAAGACAAAGGAATAGACAGAAAGTCTGATCAAAATCTCCTAAGAGTAAAATGTTAATGACCACCTGCCATACTGCTAAACTGCTTATCTCAAGAACAACAGTAACATAGACATGGTTGAAATGCATGGGTGTTTGGACCACAGAAACCAAGTGGGTCTCATTGCCAAACCTAAACATTAGGCCAGAGAACTGCCTGAGGATCAACTTTTTTTTTAAAGAGAAGCTATACTTGGAATCTTTATTTTGACTGTTTTATCTCTAGGTTAAGGTCAAAATGTATTTTGATCCAGATTTTGGTGAAAGCAGTCTGGTTTTATGTGGGGCACATTCATCTATATCTGAGTTTTGAAAAATAATATTTTACCAGACAAATAAATGGCAATGTGATACAAAGTAATCTACAAGTAAATCCACACTTTCTGTATCTTATATTTTTCATGCTACTTATCATTACATCTATCAAATTAAGCAATATATAACTAACAATATTGAAAAGGGTTCCATAACTACTCTAGTCACTCAAACAGAAGCAAAAAAACCATAATATTATTTGGACTTCATATTTAATAAACATGGTTGCAACGGTTACATATCTTTAATCAAAGACATTCATGAAAACATAGGTGGCTGAGCAACATAAATCAGACATGAGACAGTCTTTTGATAAAATCTGGGTAAATATTCACTTAAGTTTCAGACATCAACACAAACATAAAGGATGCATTTTCCATTCCATCATTTTCTTTACCTTCATCTATCCTAAAATAAAACACAACAACTCACTTTTCTTTTACTTTGCAGGCTGACAAGGCCAAAAAGTAAGTTATGCTACAGTCTGGAATCTCTCAGTCTGTCCCCACCAAAACAAATAAGACTTGCCCTACATATTGTCCTGAATGGCACTTTATCCACGAGACAAACTGTAACATTACAGTCTACATCTCATCATACGGTGAAAGAACTGCAGGATATTGTATTCAATGGAAAATAAACCATTAAACATATAAAGCATACATCATTACACTTAATGTGACATTCAAGCTAACCATCCCCGTAATGATCCACAATGAAGGATGGACATTGTTTCCTGCTAATAGAATATTTATCAAAGGAGTTCCATCTTCCATATAAGAGACAGGTTTAACGACAGGATACACTCTATACTCCTCAGTTCTTTAATGACATGTTGTAACATAGACTCTTCGGGTGACACCTTGTTAGAACAGATCCTTCTCCCAGCAAATTATGTACCTGCGACCAGCAAAAACTCAAAAATATATCATCCACTCATCATAATGATAACCTTTCAATTCAATCATCAAGCCAAACACCTCCATTTAAAACAAGTCAAACATTTGCTATAAATATTAAGAGGCACAGAAAGTCTGTAGCTTCAGGGCATGATCCCATTATATTAGAAATGTAGATCTTCATCTTTGGTATCCTCCTTCCTAAGTAACAGACAGAGGGTCTCTCATATGATGTTGAGTAACAGTGGTGTCTAGCATGGGTCTTCTAGCTTTGATGTGTGTGTGTAACAGACTGTAACCTGCTGTGTAATGGGTTACAGAGGTTCTTGGGTGCTACAGGTCTGGGACAGGTGATGTCCTCAACAAAAACTAACACAAAATGTCAAAATTATGAGACATTAACCATTTCTACATGTATTTCAATTTGAACTTTGTGAATAAATATTTCAAGTACAATTTGCATGTTCTATATAGATTCACAAAACTGTGAGATAGGGTAAGTAGACTTTAAAGAAAATCAAATAAAATAACCTAATATAAACTAAATCCTATATTTTCAAAACTATCCTAAACAACATGACCATGTATCTCATCAAAGCTAACACTGGTGTTTAAAGCAGACAGTCTTGTTCTAAATGCACATCCTCTATAGTATCATGTAGGCCATCTTGGCAGTGAAGCGAGACAATCCCTAAAATACTTAAGATGAGTCTGACTTATATAACTAGTGGACTCATATACTACTTGGTTCTGAGATTATATAAGTATGGGACAGAAATTTACCTTTATAAGACAGTGAACTAACTTACACACTAGATACAGAAGATAAAAATCCTTATTAGTCAAGTCAATCCAAACTGTTGCTCTTCACAAAATGTTGTGCTCTCATGCCCTTGCCTCAAATACCAGCTAGCTTCCTGTTAGTGATTTTCTTTAATGACTCACTAGCTTTGCACATTTAATGGTTGCTCTTACTCATTTACCTGTTTGAAGCTTCAAACATATGCTTTAAGTATATAAAACATCCTGACATTTGAAGAGCAATAAATTTTACCACTAAATTCGATAAAATGTGTTGATTTTCATACTAATTCTTTCACATTCTGCATATATATGCACACAATATATTTTAAAAGAAAGACTGGCTGTTTTACACAAGGTGGACATGAGGATTGCCCAGGCACCAAAGCCATGCTAATGAAATCTCTCTGTCAACTGTAGTCCAGCACTTGTAAGTGTTAAAAAGAAAATAAGCAATTTAGGGAAAAAATGACAGAAGAAAATTGCTTTGCTTTTTCAACTCTTCAAATCAATGGTCATGAGATACATAGCTAAGCTGCTATATAAATATAGTTCATGTTTGGGCACATTTTATGGCAAACTGACAGATCTGGCAATCTGAACCATCTAATCCCACGAAAGACAAATATCTGTGTTCCCTTGAAAATGATGAAGAGAAACACTCAGATATGGGTAAAAGAGACTTTTTATCAATTGAATCACTTTTTTGTGTGGTTATATTATCTAAACTCCAGGACAAACTAAATCCTAAGAGAGAAAATGATTTTACTTGATTTTAACAGAAATGGAGCAATGATTGTGCCATATACCAGATGCAGACAAGTCGACAGTTTTCATATCACGCCACAGACAGGGTATGCAGACATGTCAAGTCAGCCCCACCACGTGGCTTCAACTATTTCATGCAGCATTATCATCTGAAACAATAGCAGTGGGATCACATTTCTTCAGGACACTACTGTTCTGCTCTCAAAAAAGGGAACGCAACCACATTTTTATGCAAAAAAAAAGGATGAATTCAACTTTCTAAGTAAGCAGTGTTTGCCTCTTAGGAAAATTAGTTGCTGGACCATAAGTCCAGCCATCTTGAAAAGTAGCTGGACTGAATGTCTGCTGGGTGGGAAAACTTCTCAGCCCGTTCTGAAAGTTGTCAGCCCCGGGCAGACGGTCCAGCCTTAATTTCTAACACTGTAAGTAAGACATGACCTTTTAAGAGTCTTAACATCACAATCCTGACCTCTATGATGATAAAGTAAAAATTTTTTTCAATTTTTTTTTTAAGAATTAAATATCTAAAACAAGAGATGTCTGTTAGCACCTGCAATGCTGTCAAACAGAGTCCATTCTGTAATTAGACACTTGCATGTCATTATCAAAATCTGACAGCATACATATACTCCACATGTTCTTAATAAGAACAATTACCTACAGAGTCCTTCTGGATCCTTGTTAGCATGCAAGTAACATGTTGCACATTATTAATAGCGTCTATTAGTCTCATCCACCTTATGCAGACTAACAAGATATGCAAGAGTACTTAAGGAGTAAAATTTACCAAGGCTAATGATGCATCTCCACAGATGCAAATGCCCTATTGGTAGACATCAAGAGCCCATTGTTGACATGTACAAATATGGGAGGGAATTGCTATTATACAATCAGTTGTATAATGAACAAATTTTTTTAGTAACAGGGACATCTAGGAGTGTTTAAAGTTTTCTAGTCCATGCAGGCATTATGTCATCTATATATATTCACTTTGAATGTGTGCATATGTATGTGTGAACATAAAAGAACATAAAAGAAAAGTGTTTGACAAGTTTGATAGGTAAGGTATGGTATCAGGAAAAGGGAGGTATACGAGGAGATTAAGAATAAGAAGATTTACATGTTTGATCATGTGCATGGAGCTTATAATATGCATAAAGGTAAACGCAAAATTCCAATCAATTTCTCCCTAACCATGTAGCACTATCAAACAAGAACAAAAAGTTAGACACTAATTATTGAAGACCCCTAAAAGGAAAGATGAATAATAGACAAATGCAAAAAAATTGTCCCTTTATCCATTTTGAGTTTTTTATAAACTGCTCAGTGCTGTGCTCAGTATATATCAGTCTTTTGCAGGGATTTCACAACTTGTATTTCAACAAACTGCCTTCTGTTGTGACAACATAATAAGAAGTGGTATATTAAGGTGCTTTTAAATTGAATATTTTTACTTCTTACAGTATCAATGAGGGCTTATGTTCACAAGCAATAACAAAATTCAATCAAGGCCAAACCTTTTTCAAAGTGTCATTAGCAAATGCATTATGACCAGACAACTACTAGTTCTATATCACCCACTAAAATGACTGGACACCAAAGTAACTATTGCCAACAAGGGTAATGCCTTCATGTATTCTGCACAAATGAGGAAAACCTTGGCAATTAAAACAGAAAATGTGTTGGATATGAGGATTAAGAACTATCTTGAAAAAATGTTTCAACTAATCCCCATGACAGAACTAACAAATGAATAACTTATCTTTGGTCTCTTAAAAGAAGCCAAATCCATACACTCAAATCAAAAACTTGCACATGGTTAAATTTGCAAGACTCAGAGAGAGAGAGTTTCTGTATTCTTTCCCCTGCAATAACATGAACAATGTCGGTACAGTTTACATCACGAAACAAGATGGCACAAAATTTTTTTCCAACTGAGTCAACATGAGAGGACACAATTATTGCAGACAAGTAAATATTGCATGCTCGTCTATTTGTATAATGACAAGACTATTTATAAACAAGCTGAATCAAGTAGCAAAAGTTATTATGATAATAATTCCTGAGACTGGTTTTATCAACTACCTTCTGAAAGTTCGAGGTCCAGCTCGGCAAGTCTTGCTCGGACATCTAGGGGAAGTTTAGAGATATCGATGTTTAACTCAGCCATTGTATCCTCTTGTGTTTTCCTAACACAGATTTTTCTTTGCCGTGGTCTATGCCAATGTTTTTAAACCGATCTTCCTGCTGTCGCCATTTTGTGACTTATACCACACCTAAGTCTCGCGTAATCAGACGAGTGCGCGAGAGTTGTTCGAGGTTATGGCGACTGGGAGTTAGCTTCATCATCCACTTATTTAGTGAATAACATTCGAAGTAAATAAAAAATGACGTTCATACCCAAAATGATAAACTGTCTAGTTGACGAAGAAGATGAAGACATTTACTTTGAGGTAGGTCGATAACCAAAAATTATCTGCTTATGCTTGAGGATTTTCATTCATTCTTGAGAAACTAGCGCCATTTTCTGACGTGACAGTGGTGAAATCGAAGGAATCTGTCAGTAGGTGAAACACGTGGCAGCAATCGGGATGTTTCTTACTTGTCGGCTGTAAAATTTGTAATCAGATCCTCGACTAATAAAGTGTAGAACGATGGTTTATAATATCGCAGAGTCTGTTGATAATTTTTGCTAGGGAATAATTTCGCCACGCGTTTCCCCATTTTACTTATCATTAGACTTGTTGCATGTGATTTCTTATCAAAAATAGCAGGGCAACAGTATTAACAAAATTATTGACCACAGTACCTCATTTGATTTTCACGTTCAAACTTGGTATGTATTGATTATAACCAGTTAAAAGCTTGGTGAAAAAAGTAGAACAAATTTCAAAACATTTGGTAACTAAGCGAACACATTTGTGGGAATTCAGTTTCAAGTGCGTCAGATGGTTTTTGAGTAAGATTTTGTAATTCATGCACATATTTATCTAATATATTTGGACTTAACATTGTTTCTACAATTAATAGAGTACATACCCTGTAGTGAATGTGTGTCCAAGTCAATCTCATAGCACACGGCTTCGTTTACAGTGGAAGTCTCATGGACTTGTTGATGCTTCACATAATGGTACCAACTCTCATTCATTATCTGTGAGTTCCACTGTCTGCTGGACTGTTGTTGAAATTCCATCCTTGAACAAGCATAATAAGACATGGTGACTGCTACAGATGTTGTGGCACTGATGTCTTGTAGTTTGGTTTGCGGGATCCTTTAGATGTGCTTCTCACCTTGCAGAATTCACAGTTTTTTCGCATTTATCTTAGATTAAAAAACAACCAATCCCTATCGTGTTATATTGTGGCATTGAATTGTTATATAAATTCATGCATACTTTTGAGTGTAGAGCCATTGGATGTACATATCCAGTTGTAGTGCCTGGCTCATTACACAAAGCACAAACAATAGAAGCTGCAGTTGGTAGATATTCTCTAGATCGTTGCCCAGGTTTTTGGTCAGTTCCTGCCCTTGTTAATTCTCTAGACCAACTGGCAAAAAGCCGTCTTTCTCCCTTTATTCATTCAGGCCTGAACTATGAGGCGAGATGTGATTAGGATGTAGATATAATCCCATACCCGGCGACTGTCAGAGGTGAAGGCATCCACAGTTTGCCCTTAGGCTAACTTTTTATAACTGACACATTCATGTATCACCTAGCAGGCAGGCACAGGCTGGTTAGGTGAGGGTCCATAAACCGGGTGCTCTCAGACATAACCCATGAAAGGAAAGTACAAACAAAATGCCATATGACTGGGTACTGGAGAGAAAGTATTACTTTAAACACACCATGTGGCCAGCTCTTCCCGGTCTAAGATCAAAAGCATCGAAATATCAGAGGTAGGAATATGGCATCTTTACAAGAAGAAGGGTTGGACCTTTGAAGTAGAGATAAGGATTTATGTTCTTGATGCATTAGCTAGATTTGATAAGGCTTCATTACTGTGCCTGCAGGTAGTTTTGTATATGGTTATTTTAATTTGAGCTGACTTTAACAAGTTTTTTGTTGCACACATTTAAAAAGTGATGTACAGTGATATACAGTGTTCATTTAGTATAGATTAACCTAATGGGTTCAGTTTATATAACATCTAAGCATTTACAGACTGGCATGGCAGACTGCCAGACTCGGGGACATGACATTTTTTGGCAATGTGATCTTCCAACTTGCTCCCACCCAAAACAACATTAATGCCAAAAGCTCTAGACTTGAAATCCAGTTTCATACTCGTGGGATGAGATGCGGCTCAAGTATCTTTGAGATTTTTATTATGAATTATGTTGAGTCATAACTGAATTCCCATCAGAGATAATTTCCCAACAAATGTCGCCCTGAGTGATCAATCAGGCATTGTCAAAAAATTGGAAATGGATTCATAACCAAAATGTTTTGAAGATTGGCATTTATGATTTTAAAAGTCTAAAAATTAAATTGTGACTCTTATGTTTTTTGTTTTTTTGTTTTTTTTTTATGAAGCTTTGAAACATTGTTTTGTTTCATTTTTCCGAATTAGAATTTGTTCAACATTTATCACAAAATTAACATTGCTAAAGTGATCTTGGAGTGTCTTTGGTGTTTTTATTTCTCACCAACACTTGTTTATTTTCAGGAGAATGAAGAACATGAAAAACTCACAGAAAGATTGAGAAAAACTCTTTATTTTGGAAAACTCCCTGGTACTGACAGACCTTCACTGCCTTTAACAGGTAAAGCAGCAACTAACGAAATCATATCTTTATATATTTAAGGTTGTACGATTGGGTGTGGTTTATTTTACTTTGGTACTTGATTAAAGAAGAGAATACAGAAGACTATTTCACTTTCCATTGAATGTATTATGTGACAAGTTATTTGTGAGACAAAATTATTTCTTTGAGATATTTATTAATGCATGGAATGCTTTGGTATTCAGAAATTGCAGTCAATTTCTTCCAAGATGCTGCTCCACGAGGACTTGGCCGGATTGATATGGAGAGTGCAGCTGCTGTTTCAAGGTGAGTTTCAGAAAATAGCTTTTTTCCCTTTGTATTTTTGTTATGATGCCTAGATTGTATGGTGGTGAGACAAATGTTTTGGAATTTCCACATATTCAGCGCTTCATTATAAACATTATATTATATATTATATATTTTAAAAATTGATGCAAAAAATGTTAAGTCAAGAAAATGGTTGGTAGAAATTATTTTCTTTGTGCAGATACCCATCTTATATGTCATAATGGATTTGATCATACTTACATTGGTTTACATTAGATACATAAACATTGTATGCACTAAAGCAAATAATTTTATGCTGCTTTGATATTTTAGGCATGCCTGTATGTCTCCCAGTGGCATGATGACAGGAATGTTATATGTTGAACGTCTCAAGCACAAGAACCCCCAGTATCTGCAGAAAATTTCTTCCTCCGACCTGTTTCTGATATCTGTGGTAAGACATTTTCAACCTCTTTTAAGTTCAGCTCTAAACATGGTTAACTTGATTTTTAAGGTTCTTTTAAGAGAATAATGTTACATGAGTTTGTGTGTGTGCAGGCATGCACCTCTGAATTTAATCTGGATACTAAGATGCCCAATCTACAACGCCATAGGCCTGTGCCATATAACATTTAAAAATATCAATATTTCAGTTGATGGCCTCCAAATTCATGTATGATGAAGGAGTGGATGATGAAGTTCTTAATGATGAATGGGCAGCTTCTGCCAACCTGGAACTGGAGGATCTTAATGAACTGGAAAGAGATTTCCTAGCAGCATTGGTAAGGTTTGAAATCAAATTGATAAAGTATAGGGTATTGCAAACCTGACCTGAGTATTGAAATAAAATTGTTTGGTCTGACATTTCGATCCAGTGAACAATGTTGGAACAATTTGTGCAATTTCCTATATACATGACACATTGCCTTAATGGTTTTTTCAAAACATTGTTTTGCTCACATTTTACAGTATATATACCAGTATTGCTTTGAAGGCTTTGCAGATATTTCTTTAGTATGTGCTTTGTTTTAGGACTGGCATTTGTTTGTGAAACCAGAGGAGTTTCAAGCAGTAGTGGCTTCATTAGAACAGAGGTATGTCTCACTCTATGCTAAATGAACATAAATTCATTGTGGCCACAGTGACATTGTGTTTAAATCCCATGATTAGTTTACTAAATTAGAGGACAAATTCCATAGAAGTGTTTGGAAAAAGAGTTTCAAGTCATTCAAGACCACCTTTAAGATGAAGACAGAGGTGATGTTGAATACATTTCTTTTCAGAAGTTTTATATTCCTTGTATCTTTCAGAATTGCCTTAAGCCAGGGTATAGATCGTGGCTGGTTTTCTTACACAGATCTTCTGGTACTTCTTGAAAACAAGAAATGGATGCAGAACATCAAGCAAGTTATTAATGAAGTGTCTAAGGTATGAGGATGATGATCAGTAATTTATTTAAAAATCCCCATTTGCCTTTATGAAGAGAGCTTGTGGCAAACAGGAGATCCTCTGTCTTTTGAAAGATTTATGCGCATTTATGTTAAGCTGAGCAGTTAACCAAACTAAAAGTTCTATTTGCATGGAGCTGTAAGATAAATGGGTGAGAGAGCTTGCTTCATGTAACTGACTTTCATAAAAAGTTGGTAGCCTATTAAAACTGTCCACATTGTTTTGCAGGTCATTGCAGTGTGCTCAATCGCTTATGTTCTGAGTGTTGCAACCGTGGCTGCTTCCACTGTCTTGGTGCTGCATTTGAGGACTACAACACCACCAATGAAACCAGCATTGCCCCAAAACCACACTGCCTTCCAGACACCAGCATCTCAGCTTTCTGGTCCCAGTCACAGTTTTCAACCAGAGGTTCCTCAAGTGAAGTTCACACACGTGTCCACCTTGGTTGAAATACTGATCAGATTCTTTGGTGCAGCCTACAGTCAGTTGCACTCTCAGAGAGCACAGTCTTTGATAAATGATTCTAAAATCCCAGGTGGAGCTAATTTTGGTGTTTGGGTTAGGGAACAAGTGACCGGTGACAACACGGAACATGGACTTTTGAAAAATGGTAACTGCAAGTGTAGGTGTCAGTCCCACAAACAATGGAAGAAACATTATGTTGGAAGATCACAAGGATCTGACTGCTATCAGAGTCAGTTAATTGAAGCACTACCGTCCTCTCCAAGTTTGTTGACTTCTTCATCAGAAATGTGCTGTTGTGGCTCATTGGCCTTTCTTGCAATACCGAAGACAGATGCTATTTTTGGACACACAACAAGTACACAACCAGTTTTAGTGTTTGGTTGAGAACAATCATGCTCAATTAAATTTAGGTTTCCTAATGGATGCTGGAAGAAACTGCAACCTAAAGTGTTTGGTTTTTAAACTTTATTTTTTAAAATCAGTGACTACTGTGTCAACCAGTTAAAGATCAAAAAAGTAATTATTTTTAAATTGTAGATCAAAAGCTGTACTTTTTTAGATGAAGTTTGGATTTTCATACAAGCCATGATCATTCTAAATTTGCTGGTCAAATAAATGTTGAATTTCAGCATTTTTGCAGCTATTCTTGTTTTCATTTACTTTAAAAGGTGGGTGTGTGCATCTTGAGAACTGATACCTCTTGACCCCTTTCAATGTGTTACTGAGTGGCTTTGTTTGGTTATGAGGCAGGTTGCTTTCGAAAATCGGCACAATCAATTTACATTTACGATAATTACTCTCCTTTTTTTTTTTTTTTTTGTGAAGTTTCCATTTTTCACACAGCATTTTCAGTGGCTTTTAAATCCCATGGAACTGAATCACTTGCTAGCTTTTCAATGTCCATGTTACCTATTGTACATAATGTAAGCGGGTAAGTGATTATCCCATTTTAAAGCAATATGTAACAATGGATCAACATTTGCCAAAACATTATTCTGTGCACTTTTCTGTGTGCTCTCTGAACATTTGACAGCTTTGCTATTTAGTTAAAGAAGAATTGAGTGTTTATTCCCATAAATTTACTTTGCTTTGGGGCAAAAAAAAGCTCCTGTGGGGTTTGTTGTCTAAATCCAAAGTCTTCGCCCAGTATGGATCTTGCAAACATATGAAAGTGGTATTTTTGTTTTTTTCAATTCTTCAAGAATATCTTAAAGAAATTCAGTCCTAAAGCTTAGACATTTCTAAATTAAAAAAAAGAAAAAAATTTAAAAAAGTAACTCCGTGCAAGATTCATTTTGAAAGTTGCATCTTCAAAAGTTCAAAACTTCATTTTTGGGGCCTGCTGAAGGGCCCTGAAAAATTTTGGTATTTCAGTGGGCAAACGGTGCCATTTGGTACGGTTTAGAACTATGAATTAGCTGGTAAAAATTCTAATTTTCAAGAGGCAACCATTGGTGTGATTTTTTTCAGAAATCGAAAGGGAAAGTCAGGATCCCTGACTGCCCCCCACCCCACCCCACCCCCAAATCTGCCATTGTCATAGTAATTGTAGCAACAGTGTATGCTTGTATAAGATGCTGTTTTCAACTGAGGAGCTGTGGACAAAGCTCTTGGTGCACAATCTCAAAATTTATGTCAATGTCAAATGTCTAAAAACATAACTGAATAAATAAACATTTATACTCATTTTCCCTTGATAAAAACTGTACCTTCTACAATTTTATTATCCCCGTTATTGTAATTCTTTGTGTAAATAATACTACATGTGTTTATAGAGTAAGCTTCTTTATAATTTATGTCCTTTTCATTTGTTTAAAGTTTGGACACCACACTAGTGCCACCTATTGAGTTGGCCACTAATTTTGCTGCTTCTTTTGCACATCCCCAGTGAGTTGTGATACCACCACCTCCATGACCGTAGTTGTAAACAATCTGAAATCAGGAAAAAAAATTATACTAATTGATTTGAAGAACTCTGTTATTATCTTGTGATGGATAGGAGTTCTTATTACCTTAATTTAAAATGCTAATTTTCCATGGCATTATGTGCTTGATTTCTTGATCACTCCAAAAATCTTGAACTTACTAAGAAAGCAAACCACTTTCTTTAAACAGTATCAAAGTAGGACACTGTACTGTACCTTCAGCAGTTTTCCATCAAAAACCTTTTCTTCTTTCTCCAGCCGAATACCAGCCGACCTAGAAGGTCTCAGTCCAGCCCACTGTCCTTTGATTTCAGCATGCTGGGGGGAAAACTCATTATTTGATTAAACAAAGCAATAATTGACAATGCTAACTGTTAAGTAAGTAAATGTTTAACTGGCATCCCTTGGTGTGTAACTTATCTTGGCATTTTCTGAACATTCTTGAAATTTTTTCATTAAATAGTGATCTCACCTTCAAACTGGGGTTTAATTCACAACAGCTCTTAAAGATGAATTTGCCATCCTGTAAATCTACGTCTGTATTCCAGTCTCCAGTCTGATGTGTTCCACCAAGTTTTACTTCATTTAGTCTGAAATCAGTACTTCATTATTTCCCCTTGAATTTGTTCTTTTATCTTTTTTCAACAAAAGATTCCAGTATTATCCATGTTAAAATTTGACTTCAAAGCAATGTTTTAAGGAGGAATTTAGTAAAGTAACTCACCCTGGAAATATATAAATGTTGTTCCCAATACCATAAAAATTTTTTATCCATGGTGCACTAACCTATTGGAATGAAGACAAATTTTAGCAAAGATATTGTGAACACTTTCTGTGACCTTCCTGACAAGTTTTGACAGCTATGATAATAACTTGATTTTTTCAATGTGGAAAATTGTAAATTTTACAGATACTGTTTTAAGTCATAAATTAGAAAATACAATAATACACTTGCCATGTAATACTCAAAATTCAAAGCTGTTTTTTAAACTGTTTATCGCTCTTGCAAATTCAATTTCTCGTGGCCACAGGTACAGTGTAATGAGAAAGTGATCAAAAACAGAAATATACAAACTTGCTTACCCTGGAAGCATATAATTGAAAGAAGTTTTAGTACAATGCACTACAAAATGCTTTAACCAGGGTGCATGGGCCTAAAACATAAAAACAGCACTTCAATGCTGGAAATTAAGTGTACTGGGGATAGTACAATGTACATGTATTAGGTTGGTGGTAATGCTTCTTTAAATGTGGAAATACCCTGAATGTATTTTTGAGTGCTTATTAAAGGCTAATTTTGTAACTGACTGACAATGCCTCAAGCACTTTCATTATACCTGATATAAAGAGAAATGAAGAGATATTTGAAGCCAGTAATGCACACACACCTTAATCAACTGTCCTCTAACAGGTACAACATCTGCATCTCCCACTAGCTCTCTTGCACCAAGACCAGTACAGATGACAGCCACATCAAAATCATATGCAAGCTACAACAAAATAACTTTCCGCAATACATAATAATTTTCATGATGATATAAATGTTTGTTTTCTCGTAATTGTTTGTGCACTTTATTGCAATAAAAGAGATAACTGTTCACTGATTACTGTTTAAAAATCAATATGAAGAATAAGAATAAAAATAATCGGGAGATAGAATCAAAGTCAATTTAATACCTCTTCCAAGGTTTTGATTTTCTTCTTCAATACTTTACCATTCCTGCTTTCAAACCTGAAATTTACCAGATCGCTACAGAGTTAAGGAAAGTGCCAAGAAAGGAGGAACAAAGGTAGTCACAGAGAAATTGGCCGAATATTTTTTATTTTTTTTAGGAAAACCCAACGCTTTGCACCTTGCACATTGGCTCTGATGTAAAAGATTAAAAACCTTCTCTAAAACTATGTTCAGTATGAAAAGCCATTTCATAATAATTTTGAACAGTAATTTCACAGCTGGCTTTAATGTCATGATATCATCACAGCATGGTAATTACATTTTACCTTTTCAAAAGCCATCTTAAGTACATACTTGTTTCAACCTTGATAGTGGTGTAAAACCAACCATGTCTGGAACATATGACATGCATGAAGATTATCAAAAAAAAAATCAGTCATTAACAAAGATCAAATAAACAACCAGGTAACTGATAAATAGGAAAGCCACAACAATTCATTAAATATAATTATAGAATTATCAAAGAGACTGTGCATATTTATCTGTCAAAATGCATTTTCCTTGAGTAAGACAATCACAAATTATTTCTCAACCTGTCCCTACACTTGGATTTCATGCTTCATTCCATTTTTAATTTAATACCTTAGTGCAACTTATATTATAACTAACCATTTATTTATTTATTCATTTTTTTAAAGAAAAAAATTCAATTTTTATTTGTAAAAATTTACTTTGCTTTGGGGTAGAAAGAAAGCTCCTGTGGGCTTAGATGCCTAAATCCAAACACAGTCTTTGACCAATATGGATCCTGCAAACAAATGCAAGTGATATTTCAATTGTCAAATATCTGAACTAACACTCAGAGCTGCATTATAAATGTACCAGTATTGGTAATAAATATATTCTTGGTACCAGTTATAATGCAATTTGAAATAGTTTAAATCCAAATCTTCTTCACCTCTTACATCTATATTTTCCACAAAAAGTTATGCTCTTTTAAATGCACATCCTTAAAAAATAAACCATAGACATTATAGTATTCCTAGATTGAAAAAAAAAGCAACGCATCTGGTTGTACCATTCATGAAGGGCAATTAACATTGCCATATTAACCTACATGCAGTTACTGTAAATACATGTAAATACATGTACATGCTATGTACAGATCCACAACTTAACTCAAACTTTCAAAGCCAATTTTACAAAAAAGTCCAACTGCAAATTAATTGCCCCATAGCATATGTTAGTGTTTTGTGTTACCTTAACCCAGCCTTAAAAATCTGAGAAATTTTATATGAAGATTAAAAACTTTTTACTAAAAATGAAAAATGTCATGCCTCTCTATAATCATCCATCCAAAAGAATCCAGACAACAAGCCAACTCCAATCTCCCCAGCGCTCTCACCTCTGAGTAAATCTAACAAATGGTAAAAGGTGCTATCTGACCATTGCCTAAAATTGGAAACTACATGTATTTATTCTACAAAAAATAAAACATAATTGACTAATTTGATCTACCAAAATTATATAAGGTGAATGACTGATCTCAAATGTAACTTAATTTATTGGTGGAAATATTTTGTACACAAATGTGCAATGTTGTAAGAGAATAAAGCTTATCATGACATGATACTGTATAAGAAAAAATACAAATCTGTTTTTAACAAGTCTCAACTTTGAAAGTAATTCAACAACAAATCCATGACTTAAGTTCATGTAAATCACACTAAATGAAAATAAAAAAAAAAGGAAAAAAAAACCTTTGCAAGTGGAGTGGTGTGTTTCCCAAAACATGTGGTTCCCAAAACCCTCCAGATCCATCACTAGTAGTCTCTGGGGAAAACTTCTCAGATATCAGTGTAACTCCAACACTGGATGGAACACTTTCTGCAATGCATAGTGCCGTAGACAGTCCAACCACGCCCCCTCCGATGACAGCTACATTGATTTTCTTTTCCATCCTATAGCTGTACATCGCACCACATAAAATATATTTATTATAATTTATTGAGCATTAAAATGTGTACAGTTACATTTTACAAGCTCTCTAAACTACAGTTTTACATAAATTGTGCACATAAGCTTAAATAAGTATAACTACTTTAGATCATTCAAATACCAAAATACATACAGTACTGAATATAAGCTAACTACTTCATAAGTGATATATGAATATAATATAAAATATAAGTGAATAGTAAAATGTAAGGAGTGTCCACGCTCAACTGTCACCTTGATTGGTTAATCAATCCGGAAAACTGACCTTAAAACCTCGGGAAACGTCTTTAGAACACCATTCCTGTGTGGGAATGTCTACAATTTACAAAAATATCGAAATTGAATCAATTAAATTTACATGCACACGCCTCCTTGCAGTTGAGGCTTCACTAGAGCAAAGTACACATGGGTAATGCAGACAATTACGGAAAGAGAAAACCTCATCCACAGTGTATAAGGTAGGCTACCAAAATATTTTTACAAAGGAATGAATTTAAGTTAAACTTGTGTGATTGTACCTTGTCTATGTACCTTTGACAAGGAGATCGGTGTGTCGGTCCAAGTCTTCCGATAATGTTTTCCGAAGCGAGGCAATACGGCGGAGGTCATGTTTGGGAGCATTTTGCATTTATATTCATTGTTCCCTGCTATCAAGACATTCATTTTTGTTAAATTTCAAAGTCAAAGAAACGGTTAGTATTTTTTCATTAAAATAAAACTACATTTTTATAGAGTTTGATATGATATATAATAACGAAACAATACTGCACTATTGCACACAACTCCGTGTAAAGGGAGCACGTTTGTCACTGGTAATACTTTCGGCACTTTGATCAGCAAGATGAGTTTCAGGTACATAGTGACAATTATCAAACACAGCGATCAGAAAGATTCAGTTTGGTCTCGCTTATAGAACAGGGCATGATGCTTTGTTTGTTCAGCGTCCTAGTTGACTTTAAGTGCTACACGTGCACTTAATTTTTCAGTTTGACTTGGTTATATAAGTCTTTGAACTTGAGTTGAACTTGCGTTGAAGAATGTAAGTTCGTTTTTTATCCTGAAAAAGTTATTCAGTGAACATGAAACTGCCATAATGCTGAAGTGAATTTATGTGACTTGAGTGCCATATGTAGCCAATGTTCCATACAGAACATGATCTAGTGTTAGTTTTTTAGTCAAATACAGGTACTTTTAAAGTTTTATTGCGTTTGAATTTGGATTTTGCAGTTTATAGTATTAAAATTATTATATATGTACGGAATTCATGTGTAAGCATTCCTGTTGATGATTTTTGATACGTACCCTTTGTTAACACATGAAACATTAAACCCCAAAAAGTGTAAAATGACGACCAGATTGCACATCCACCTTGCCTCCAAATTTTCGAACTTACATGCTCACGGTACCTTTACTACTGGTAAGGCCTCGTAGCACTACATGTTTTAACCTTGTGGCCCTTAAATACCTCTGAATATCCATGTCCTGAAAATCCTTATGTGTCCTCCGTCGTGTATATACATCTAAATTTAATTCAAAACGCTTTCTTGTCAGTCACTACGTGAAGGACAGTAAAGTCTCAGTCTTTTTATTCTAGCCGTGTATCTCTGCTAGCACTTCAGCTCACCATGTTGTGACTCGCGTGGAAGGTGAGGCCAGTTTCCAAAAGAAAAATTGAAGGAAGATCTCAATATGGTGTGCCAGCGTGGTAGCAGAGATACCCAGTGCGTAACTGAAATAAAAAGACCAAGACAGTTCATCCTATTGCTTCCTAAACCATTGCAGTGAAGAAGTTGAAACTTTGGAAATTGGTAAACCTATCATCAGGGATGCTCATGGGCACTTAAAAATTTTAGTGTAATTTTGGAGGTTGGGCTGCCTGGGGGAGAGGGGGGGTGATTTGAAACTTTCTGAATTGATAGACCTATCATTTAGGGATATACATCGACACTTTGGAATTTTAGTGCAACTGAGGGTTGGGCTGTCCCCTTAGAATGGATGATTCTTTTTTTTTTTTTTTTACATTTAGTATTTTTCATAGATACTTTTTATGCTTTTGTTATGAACATCATTTACAATTTATGCATGATAATCACAAACTCGCAATACATAATTACCAGATGGTATGATACTATCAGTGGGTAGCCTTCCCACAGCCTTGCACTTCTGGACATTGTAAAGACTAGCTATAGCTGGCCATCAGGGACCCCTGTTATGGGACCAAAGCATTGTTATAAATACCTAGACAAAGGGGTCCCTTAAGGCAAACTACAAATTGATGGTTCAAGTGATGTTCAACTATACATTCAAAGCACAAAAATATTGGGTTTTATATGTGCATTAATTACAATGATGTGCTGGAAAAAATGAAGGTGGGAGTTATACAATCCAGTCATTGTAGTAAGTCACACAAGACTATAAAATGATAAGAGGTTGGGACAAGGAAATTATTATTATAGGTCAAACTGGTGAACACTGTGGTATAGGTAACATATACTACATGCAACTGGCTATAATAATGAACTCAATATTCACTGTGATGTCTTTTTATGTAATCCATAATAACTGCTACTATTCCAGGGTTGGTGCCAAGGCTGTCATTGGTGCTGGGACACTGTATCTTGTAATTCAAGATGGCTTTTGGAAAAGTGATCAACAGTCTAAGACTTTCCAAGTGCTAAATAAATCCTTAACTCCCAAGATTGAAAGGTTAAATGAACAGGTAATTGCAAATTGGCCTAGTACTTATGTCAAATTATGGCTGCCAAATGCCACCATTTACCGGTAGTTTCAGATATTATAACTTAAAGAAATACAACAGAGTTTTGTTACATTATTTTCTGAAATATATTTGCGCAAATATTTTCGGCTTATTTTTTTGTTTTCTATGGACTAGAGAAAAAATAAGTAGAGGTGCATTTTTAAAGTCTTTTTTCTGACACCAGGGAAATAAATAAATAAATAAATAATTTTATTTAACCCTTGACCTTATTCAAGTTCAAACAGGCCAAAATCTTCAAAAAATGATAATTTTTTTGCAAAATTGTTTTTATTTGTGCCGATTTTAAGAAACTACACAGACCATACCTATAATATTATTGCCAGGTGTTACCCTTAGGGTCATCTTTCATCTTCTTGAGTTTGGGGTCAATCGGTCCATTTTCATGGAAGAAGCGGCCATTAGATCCTAAACTGAAAACTTTTTCTAAGTCTGAAACCGTAATTGCTAGAGACCTCTTTTTTATTCCAATTTATAGAGCTTGTCAAGCTCAACACTGTAGGTGGTGTATGTTTTTTTTTTTTTTTCATACGGTTTATGAGTTGCACTACGTATATCAAGAAGTACAATGTGGTGGTCAAAATAAAATGTGAAATATAGTAATTTGCCATGAATTTGTAATGTTGGGTAACATAAGGCTTAGCAAGGGACAGACAACTTCCTGTCAAAAATAACAGAATTTTATGAAATTCAAACATATGGAATTTCTGAGCACTTCCCATTTCATAAATTTCAACCAAAACGATCTTTTTTTTATTTCAATCAATTTCTTCTGTGCGAAATCCATGGCCTGTTACTGTAACTCCAAAATTAACAAAGATACACCCATAGTTATTATTGAACTTGAATAGGAAGGCATATACTGGCAATCTGTGACCTTGAAAATGACCTTTGACCTATTTTTCCCCATGAACCGCACTTCACAAATTTGGATTTAAACTTTTACTTTTCCCCATGATTTTGTTTTAAATGGTAATTTTCAACAAAAATATTGATAACTCTTGTTTACTGCATTTTGTAGAGCTTTTCAAGCATAACACTGGAGGTGGTGTCTCTTTTTTTTTTTTTTTCATACAGATGTGCTTACTCCAGCTAGTAGTACAAAGCCTGGAGGCGGTATCGCCTCTCTGATCTTATAGTTTCAGTAATTTTTTTTTTTTTTTACATGTAGGTTTTATGTGTTGTGTAAGAAACAGGTACTAATAATTTATATGCGTTACATCAGAGAACTTACTCTTATCTCTTATTGTGTCTTTAAAGATAATAAACATTTGAAAGTTATAAAATATGAAAGTATCAGATTAATAATTTGAGTCAAATGAAATAAGTGACAATTTAAAATTGAGATGTCTGACATGAAATAACAGTTAAAATTCGTCTATGTGGCAAATTTTATTTATGTTTTGTGATAATTGTTAAGTTGTTTTAGCTAAACCATATCTTTCTCAAAGATGCTTTAAACAATTGTCTTTCAGATTGCATCCAAGGAAAATATTTTAAAATGGTGGAATTCAGGTTTGTTTCTTTTTAATGGTTTGTTGGTAATGATTTGGTAGTGAATTGCAATTGATATGAACTGAGCAACATAATTTTTTTTCTTCAAGATAAAAATTTTAAAAAATTATCGATTAATCTTTTTTCTTTTTTTCAAGGTATTCAAGGATGTTTTCAGACAATATCTTCTACTCTTGAAAGACTACAGAGAAAAGATGCGAAGAATCCTAAAAGTTGATGCTTTGCTACTGTCCACAGAAATAAAACATTACTAGTAGTAAGACTACTTTTTTTTGGACAGGCAAATAATGCTGAAATTGTGAGCTATCATGTTCACAGTTGTTGTTGAAAATACTTATTCTTTGACAGAGAAAGAATAATTATTGCCCTTTCTTAAGAACATTTGTAATGCAATTGGACATCAGCATGGGTATATTGAAAGTGTTTGTTGTTTAAAGCTGAAATGCTTAAAAACTATTGTTGGGTTTTCTTAAGATTTGATATAAAATTTGTGTCACTTAAATATTAAGATTTGAATGTTTCCACATGATTCTTCTGAATGAATTTTATGAGCCGATGACTTTCCTCCACATTAAAGCAGTTTGTACCTTGGTGCTGAACCTCGAATAAAAACATTTTTTTAAAAAATGGGTTTTGTTTTCATAATAAAGCCAACTGGCTAGGAAATATAGTTGTTCTCTAAATGTACATCGAGAAAAAAGTGTTTTTCTCCTCTCAAACCGTTTTGTTCTTGGATTCAGTGTTAGTATAAAAGTGCTTTGGGTTTAAAGGTTTCCTTTAACGTTTAGACCCCCCCCCCCCCCGTCTTCCATTACATGTCAGGGTGTTTTGTCGAAATTCGATATATATACTATAGTTTATAGAGGGGTTTCCCCTTTTTTTCTGAATTGTGAGATACGTGCACTCTTGTAACATTAATATGTACCTTTTAAATGTTTCTAGTTGCAACAAACGGTTTTCATGCCATCATTATATTCACAGAATTTACGTAAAACATCTTTTATGTACATTTTTCCTCTCAAAACAATATGTTAGGAAAGACCTGTCACTCCTATAGCAATGAATATTTTGAATTGCGTCAGCCCCGAACACAGCCATAAACGTTGTATATCATTTGTTTGTAAACTAAATAAGCTAGGCTTGCTTAATTTAGTTTGTATATTATTTACATTAATGTTACTTAATATTACATGTACTTCGTTTGAAAATGTATGTATCTCAATTATTTTATGAAGCAAGTTAGTAATTCATTAGAAATTTATTACGCGCTCCTTTTTTCCTCCTTTTCTTGTAAAGAGTTGGTTCGGATCCCCCAAAAACGATTATGTTGGCCCTGATTTTTCCCTTTTCTCGAGTTCACTGCAAAAACTTTCCCTATATTATTGCTAAATTCTCGTTGGAGGCGCTATTGTCAGAAGGTAATGACTCCAGCTAACTCTAGATTTTGAGTCTCTTTATTGCGTTCAAACGCGAATGCACACTGGAAGCGTCAACTATTGATAAGAATAGATCGGTGTCAAATGCTTAAATGCTAATTGTAAATTACATCATGGATTATTTTTAACACATTGGTTCTCAATCGTGTGATATTGCTATCCTTTGCCATTTTACGATGTTGAACGCAACGACCCCTTTGTTCAATAAAATCAAACTTCTTGCGCTTCTGTTTTTCGTTATCGTTAATAACAAGAAGCGCAATATATCTGGATTTGAAGTGAAGCTTACTCCTCTCTAAACAGTTTTTATTTAAGAGAAAAAGAAGAGCCTTATGACGGTATGAGCACAGTGTGGACTCTTCATACTCGATTGTTGTGAGGAATGCTGCCGCAAAACGTTCATTTGCCATTTTACTAATGCACCACCCCCTTTTTTTCCTTTGGAAAATGGGGTAATATACTGAATATAACCTTCTTGCGGCTGAAGGTTACCCAGTTTTAACGGGATTTTAATCCGTTGAAGTTACCGGGTATGTACCAGACCTCCCACTCCTCTGTCTCCTTGCGATACTTAATGTTTTTTTTTTTTTTTTTTTTTTTGCGAAGTCAAGGCTCTGTCACACCTCGCGTAAAGAGGTCATTATGAGTATTGGATGTGACATCGATTATACAATGTGCGCACAACTTTGAGCGTGTGAAATCACCTTGTTTCCAGTTTCCTTGTTAAAATGGATACATGAACAATAAGCGTATGAAACTGTTTTTGAACTTGCTCCAAACATTTTATCTGCTGCTTCATCTTCCAACGTTTGCCTACTTATTCGAGGTGCATAGGCCTACAACGTAAGCCTAAAGAACTGAAACCCTTGCGTTTGTCTGTGTGTGGACGATTTTTTAAATACGTTAGTGCTATACAAAAAGTATGACAGTACCGGTAGTTCAAAGTTATATACAGTACATTGTAATCAACGAGTTGTGTCAAATTTTAAAAAAGCAAAGTAACGCCCAAAATAGGAGTGTACATTAATGTGCCAAATTATTCTTTTTCATTTGTTTTTATTTAGTGAGGATGTATCTTTTAAATAGGCCTAGGCCTATGTAATAAATTCTATGATCTTTTTAATATAACGTTTATTTTTAATAATACACACGCCTGAGCGTTGAAAGTTTATTAAGCTACACGTTATTGTACATTACACGAGATTTGCATCCAAAATATTACCTATAGCCAATGATACAAGTGAAAGAGCGAGATTTCCTACAATGACGTACTGCGTTCTATATACACAATTGAACAATAGATGAATACAATGCCGCATATCAACCAGGTAAACAGGTGTAAATACATGAACAAAATAACGTGACATGGTGCAAAAATTGGAATTATCTGTGCCCTTAGCCATCCAAAATTTCAAACAAAAGCCCGTGTTCATTTGCTTAAAAATAAAGGTAATATTTTATCCAAACCAAGAGACTATTAATAATAAAATGCATTCACAGGATGTAAACACGTCTCATCCACATGGTGACTATTTACGTTCGATTTGGGCTTATCTTGCATATCCAGCCAATCATAACGCAGTCACGTGAACGTTGAATTTGGGAGGACGGACAGGGCTGCGACAAGCCGATCGAAGACTAGTACACATATCATGAACATAAAGTGGAAGGATTTATGAGTCGAACCTAAATATGTCCCAGACAGATGATACAAGAGCTCAGGTAACCCAACATTTTATTTACCTCTCGTTTTCTTTCAATTTGCGGCAAACGAATGGGCGTGGAAATGTCAGATATGTAAACCACATCCGCCATTTTCTCTATCAAAGTTGATCACAGGCGTCTTATTTTGTAGCAACCTTTTGAGAACCATTTAATCTAAGGTGTGAAGCAAAATAATTAGAAGCACTTGTGTTTCTCATTGACCACTTCAAGTCTCAAAACGTGTCTCTTGTAGGCACGCGTGCTCTTAAAGCTCTAAGCTGGGTGTCATGTTTGTATGACACGATATATATTTTCTTTAAAATTTGCCTAAGATTCTTTTACAGGTACGTCGCCTGGATTATTTTTAACCTCTGGGTTAATGGAACGTACACTTACTTAAAGCGTATTGTTTAATCAAAATCAATGATTTATTAAAATTAATTGGAATGTTTTTCGTACATCCCACTGTCACTGGTGCGTGTGGAGTAGCTGAACCAACTTGTCTTTGAACATGGTGTCTAATTATCCAGACGTATCTAGTCATTCTTACTATATGAAATGTTGGTTTAAGGAGAGCAATTTCAAGTTTTGTGACTATTTCGTGTCCATATCTCAAGTTTGAAAAGGTATGATTTAACAGCTGTCTAAATACATTTTGTACTTTTTTGGGCCTTGTGTCTTATTTTATTTACAGCAGCAGCCTGGTATCTAATACAAAATTTTAGGGTAGCAATGTGGACAGAATGATTAATAAAAAATTGCGATACAGTTTAGTGTGTATTTTACAGTTAGAAGTAATATGTTTGTTAAAATGATTTATACAACTCTGTTTCTGCTATTTATTAAAGTTAACAATCTCTAGTGCAATATAACTGAGAAAAAGGAAGGTCATTTTCAAGTCATTGTGAGTCACTGTATCAGCAAAAGAGAGTAATTTTTCATAAGCATACACCAAGGACACCCATAACTTGCACTAGTGGCAATCCTGAATATAGAAATACACACAATTGCAAGCTCACTGGCCAAAAACAATGATGAAATGTACTTTCTTTCTTTCTTTCTTTCTTTCTTTCTTTCTTTCAGTGCAAGAGATTGATTTATTACTTTTTTTGCATTCATAGGTAAATACCCTTGGACATTTTATTTTTGAACCAAATATTTCACATTAACTTGTCCATTTCTAGGAGGATGTTCAATCAACCCTGTCTCCTGAGGCAACAGCTTTTGTACCAAAATATCTTGGATCAATGGAACAAGGTGCTGCTGCCAAAAATCCACCTGTCAAGGAACTGCCCCGGTACATGACAAATTGTTACCCTTTTGTCAAGGGTGACCCTGGTCCAAAGTATGTAGATTGCACTGATACATTGAATTTAGATAAACCATCATTATCTTAAGGTTATTCTGCTTGAGCTTTCTTTAAGATTCTGCTATGATATGCTAGATATTGTGCATATTGATATTATGAGAGTGAAAAGCGATTCTTAAAGAAAAAAGTATTATTGGGTCATNACCTCTGGGTTAATGGAACGTACACTTTCTTAAAGCGTATTGTTTAATCAAAATCAATGATTTATTTAAATTAATTGGAAGGAATGTTTTTCGTACATCCCACTGTCACTGGTGCGTGTGGAGTAGCTGAACCAACTTGTCTTTGAACATGGTGTCTAATTATCCAGACGTATCTAGTCATTCTTACTATATGAAATGTTGGTTTGAGGAGAGCAATTTCAAGTTTTGTGACTATTTCGTGTCCATATCTCACTATTTCGTGTCCATAATGATATCTCAAGTTTGAAAATGTATGATTTAACAGCTGTCTAAATACATTTTGTACTTTTTTGGGCCTTGTGTCTTATTTTATTTAGAGCAGCAGCCTGGTATCTAATACAAAATTTTAGGGTAGCAATGTGGACAGAATGATTAATAACAAATTGTGATACAGTTTAGTGTGTATTTTACAGTTAGAAGTAATATGTTTGTTAAAATGATTTATACAACTCTGTTTCTGCTATTTCTTAAAGTTAACAATCTCTAGTGCAATATAACTGAGAAAAAGGAAGGTCATTTTCAAGTCATTGTGAGTCACTGTATCAGCAAAAGAGAGTAATTTTTCATAATCATACACCAAGGACACCCATAACTTGCACTAGTGGCAATCCTGAATATAGAAATACACACAATTGCAAGCTCACTGGCCAAAAACAATGATGAAATGTACTTTCTTTCTTTCTGTCTTTCAGTGCAAGAGATTGATTTATTACTTTTTTTTGCATACATGGGTAAATACCCTTGGACATTTTATTTTTGAACCAAATATTTCACATTAACTTGTCCATTTCTAGGAGGATGTTCAATCTACCCTGTCTCCTGAGGCAACAGCTTTTGTACCAAAATATCTTGGATCAATGGAACAAGGTGCTGCTGCCAAAAATCCACCTGTCAAGGAACTGCCCCGGTACATGACAAATTGTTACCCTTTTGTCAAGGGTGACCCTGGTCCAAAGTATGTAGATTGCACTGATACATTGAATTTAGATAAACCATCATTATCTTAAGGTTATTCTGCTTGAGCTTTCTTTAAGATTCTACTATGATATGCTAGATATTGTGCATATTGATATTATGAGAGTGAAAAGCGATTCTTAAAGAAAAAAAGTATTATTATTATTATTATTATTATTATTATTATTATTATTATTATTTAATATACATAGACAAGCTGGACGGTGGCAAAATTTGCAAAGACCTAATGCAGGACAGCGACTGCCCATTCACCACCAGGGTAAGTTTGGTTCAGAAACATAACTTTTTAACTGAAGGTATCAGTATGTCAGAATTTTATTTAAAAAAAAGTAAAGGTAATACTTTTTTAATGTCCCTATTCTTCAACCATAAAACATTAGTATTGCTTGGTATATTCTGTTTTTCATGGATTTTTTTTTCAAGAAGTGTTTTTTGACCAGTTTAAAATGTTAGAATATGTAGATTTTTTTCCTATGCATTTACTGTCTTAACTCATTCAGCATGTCCGTTTTAGGTGGCTATGCTTTCAATGGCCCAGGCCCTCCAGTGGGTTATCATGTAACACCTCGTCAAGCATGGCCAAGTATCAACTCCTCACTACCAGTGCCCTTTGAAGGCCATGTATTGCCAGTTTCCATGGATGTTGTGCACCCAAATAATTCTGGTTTTAGTGCTTATTGCGCTAATTATCAACCAGCTCATTCACCTTCTCCATCAGCAACATGGAATGGGACAGGGATTTTATACCCAGAGATACCTATGACTTATGCCACAGGTTATGGACCCGCAGGGCATTGTTATCCAGCTTCAGAGGCTGGGGATAGCTGTCAAAGTTGGAGTGGATCAGAAAATAGTAGAAACACCAAGATAATACGAAAGGTAAGCTGTCATTTACATCATTTCCTTGAAAAGGCCAATGTCTCCATCATCCTTCTTTTATTCATTGAAGAATGTTGATGAAAATCATGTTTTCTTAACATTATTACTCATAGAAAAGAATAAGGATGGTTTCATAACTATTATTCTTTAAATAAATTGTTTTGAAATGTCAAAGAATGTCCTTAACATCAAGTAGATACAAGGATTAAGTCAGTAAGTTTTATTTTCATACTTCTGTTTAGCTACAATCTCTGCTAAGTTAAGTAAAGACTGGAATACCCCCTTAGTTCTCCTACTTTTGCAGACTCACCACCCTGAAATCTCTCTACTCCAAAAAAAATTAATGGACATTATAAAGCTTTCTGCAAATGTTTTTACTTACCTTTACCACCAGTTACATCTATTTCTGTTTTTACACTTTGTATTGTCAACAAAAATATTTACCTGAAAGGCTTGTGACTTTGAAGTCCAGGGGCACATAGTATGTTTCTAAAACAGTTTGTCAGACATTTGATGTCAACACTGTGACAACATGCAAATAAACACGCTCATTACCAATTGCACCACTTGTAGACACCTGTTGAATCAGACTCTTTCTATTAAAATATCTGAACCCATTCATGCTTTTTTTGAGAAGTTTATTGGAGACCTTAATGTGCTGAGACCTTACAAGTCCTACCTTCTTAGCCCTTAAATTTGAAATTATCATAAAGGGTGTTTTCTGAAGCTTCCATTCTAAGTATTAATCTGGTTATTGATCCACACTTTAGCTCCCCTTTTCCTATATCAAAACATGGAAATGCTTTCACTGAGTGAGCAAAAGATTGTCCTTTTACAAATTCAGATATTATACCAAGTTAGGAAAGCTCTGATGTGGAACATACAGCTGTTTCCTGGTCAATAAGATATTGGTTACTTATGCCCTGTAGTCATAGGCATATATGAAGAGAAACCTTTTTAAAAAATGTACTTTTAACTAAACCTTCTGGAAATGTGTAAGAAAATGATTATCAGCTTTAAGGTTTTTAAGGTTAATTTTAATTGCAAACCTTCCAAGGTAGTGGAAATTAATACAATTTTGTTCTGAGTGACAAAAGGGAACAGCGGTGAAAAATTACCAGTCACAGTACCTAGATAAGGGTTTTTTCAAAGTAAAGTGAGGAAGTTGGCTTATCACAGATCAGCAGAATTATATACAATGAAAAGACAATTTAATCAGGTCCATGATAACATAGTTTATATTCAGTGCGTAGTGAATATGTAAATGCTGGGCAAGAAATACTTTTGTGCATATCAGTGTGAATGGTCTGCTGATAATGTGTGGTTTTCTCAGACTGCCTGACCAGGAAACTGTATTGTGATAAAAGTCTGTTTTATTGCCACAAACACCTTGCCAGGACACTTGTACTTCTAATTTGGTATAGACTTCACCATCTAACCCTTTCCTTATTCTTAATAACAAATCAATAAATCCTTAGGAGTACAGCTTTCTTACAACTAGACCATTGCATAATTATTGCTTACTGAAATTTACTTGAGTGTTTGTCGAGGTGTTTGAGTAAGTCTTGTGTACTTAAATTTATGAACTTATTCTGTGGTAAGGAAGTGAATAAAAGAGCAGTGACTGAAGTACTTGGTGTCAGAATGTGCAGTAGACATGAATAGATGATGCTGTGTGATTGTCTTGGAGATAACTAATAACACCCTAATACTCACCGGTGCATTTATGCTTGAATTAAGTGCTTTTTAGTTTAGAATGTGCTACATGATTATTATACATTTTTCTGAGATGGTGAAAAAACATATGTCTGTAGGTTTCTATGCACAAACACTGAAAAATGTCTGTGCATGTCCTGATCACCTAGATTGTCGTTGTCACCACCTGATTCACTCATAAACTACCAAACTTAGTGGGTTATTTTTGTAAAACTTATTTTTTGTTGTATTTTGCATGCTTTTTAGAATTATTTGCTTCCCAATTGCTAAACTTTTTTTACATTTGTATTTTCTAGGATTTGTTTAGTAAAAGTTGGATAATATGTACAGAAACCATGATTTTTTAAAAAAGTATTCCACCCACATTTCGATTTCACATACCCAAATACCCCCCCAAAGCAGCAGACTATTTGAATTTGCAGAAAAAGGACCTATTGTGTGACAGCATTTAATTTGTTCACGTCAACGGTCATGTGTCTGAAGTAAGAAATCAATTTCAGCTTGTTTAATTTTTTTATCAAACTTATAAATCAATGATTTATGCACAGAATACTTTTGTCTGTTGCAAATATAGTTTATTGATCATAAACTTTTTCATTGAAGGTACAAATTTTTTAGATGACATAGATAATAAAATAATTATGTGAAATTGTATTTTCATCTCTGAATGACGCACATCTCTGTTGGCACATGATAGATTATTACGAGAGAGAATTAATTGCTATATAGTTGAGAGATAGGACTGGGTAGTGTCACACAGGTTCCTCCTGGAAGCTTTATTGGGTGAATTCTCTGTTAACAAATTATTAAAGGGGTCACAATTGGTTTCAAGTGTAATTTTTTCAATATTTTAAGACACTGTTGACATTTTCAGTGATTGTTTAAGGAACATTTGGAGAACAAAGCAGGTAGTTTTGATTTTTGATAAAGCCATTTGCTTTAGAAGTATGACCCCCCCCCCCCCCCCCATTATATCGAAAACAATTTTATAAAGGTGCTGATTTCAAATCATTGAAGATAAAATCTGAACTTCACACCCAAAGAAAAAATGTTGTGTAGGGCTTTTCATTAGTTACACAATGCCATTATGTTAATAGTTGCTCCGAGGACTGAGAAATCCCTGAATCCAAAATTTATATTTTAAGCCCCAAAATATATTTGTGCTCCAGTGAAGGCTGTGAGGTATGTGGTTGTTGCATGATCATATTTTTTTAGTCATTTGTTTTTGGTAACGGTGGTTTTGTAAATATTTGTGAAGGTAACCCCCTCTCTCCTTGAAATAAGGCCTGTCATAAAAGGGAGTCAGTTTCTAAACTATTGCAGGATCTAATAAAGGTGGAGAACCAGCTGGATTGAGATCTCTGGCATGTAAAGCAATGAAGTTTTATCTTTTCTATTCCATAAATTAGTATTTGTTAATTCCACTCTTTTCGAGGTATCCTCATCTTGTAAAGTAAAACTTATAGATTTCTCAGCATTGATAATAGCATCTAGGCATAATTAAGGATAACTAATTTTTTCAATTCCATGGACATTTGACCTCCGTAAGAATGTAAATATAGTTGTTTATTCTGTGTTTTGGTAACAGGTATAGCGACCTACATTGTGTATCCCATAATCGTGACTGGGTAAATAATATCATTGTTGATTCTGCAGAGCTAGTGCTAATTTGTAAACACAACTTCCACAGCAGTTATAAAGTGCATTCTTCAAAATGCAAATTAAAACCTTGTTTTGGTTTGTATAGATTATTTGGAGACTGATAATGCTCCTATTATGCAGAATTTTTTATAACTTTCTGCCAGTGGATGTTATTCAACAGTTTCTGTCCATCCAGGGCAACTGTTAGAGTGTTATAAGGCCAAAGTTAAAAATAATTTTGATGCACCTTATAGAAATTGATTCAAGTTACGATTGAATCTTTCCCAACTTTGACCAATCCACACACAATGAAAAGTAAATGGAAAAAGTGTGAAATGTAGAACAGAAATTGAAGCATAGATTAGGTGTTAAATGAATCTCTGATAGAATAGTAAGAATGCAGCAAGGCGTAAATAGGGGTAAAGCATGCATTTGAAATCACTTTATTTGAATATGCCCTCAGTCATGACTTAATTAAGACCCATAATGGGTGAAGCAAAGAAAAGATGCACATTATAATATGTTCTCACATACATAGAACCAGTTGGATTTATCACATGTGCACTAACTGAGACTTCCTAATCATTTGCATTTTGTGTGTTGATAAATGTGAAAAGAATTAAGTGGCACATTTTATTTTCTGCCCACCTTTCACTATCAGCTTAATTTATGTACCAGTGCCTTGGTAAGAGATGAGCATTTGAAGTATGTCCCTGACAAACAATGGTTGGAAGTTTTATGTGACAGAATAAATATGCATTGTTTAGTATGCAACATAAATTACAAATTTAAGGATTCAAGATGAACACTTGAAATAAATGACTTTGACTGCCTGAAAAAAAAAATCATCATGGCTCTGCTTTCTTGTGAGATATTGATAGATTGTCTTTGCTGAACATTGATCACATTAATTTAGGAAGAGCGAGGGATTAAAAAAAAAGAACATTTAAGCATAGAGGTCAGCAATATTAGAATTGTAGTCATTAGTTGCAGTTACATATTTTTAATAGATCAGAATTAGCATTTCTTTTAGCTTTGCAAAATGTCTTTCTGCTATTTAAAATAGTACAATGCAAAGCAGTTTTGCCACAGAAGTATGTAATAGAGCATGCTTAGTGGGGAAAATTGTCTTTGAATGTATGAATGAGTGCATGAATAAATAAATTTTGCCATAGTCTATCACCAGATAGACCACAAAATCCTGCCATGCAATGATGTTCATCATCAATTCTGCCTGTCATTGTCCTCTCTTTGCTTTCCTGTCTCTTTCTCCCTCAATTAAAGCAAGCAGCATCACTAGTATCAGTAATTCACCCTCTTTTTCTTTTAAGACATTTGTCAAAAATATTCCTACCTTATGCTTAATTCCATTTTCATGCGCTCAAAGGGTCATATCATGTTATGTTCTTATTCACTAATTGAGTCATGAGTAGAATTTTGTGATTACAACTTTTCTGTCACTTAAAGGGGACTTTGGTTCAAATTTACCAACTCTAATATCTTTATATGTGGTTGTGCATGAAGACAGATTTTGTGCTCAAGCATGACCCTGACTCTTGATTGTGACCTTTGCGCACTACCCTGAGTGTCAGAGAAACGTAAAAGCTAGCTTGCTAAATATACCTCGTGGTGGAGTCGCTTTTACGGTATTGTTGATATGGGTTATATATGAAATCAAGATCGAGCTGACAATACCGGAATCTAGAACCTAGGGTATTGCGCACCTTCCACAGTAAAATCTACAATGCAATTAAGTAACCCTAGTATCTCCAAAATTAGCAGAAATACACTGGTCCCATATAGTCTAAATTTAACTTGAATAGAAAGTGACATTAGAAATCCAAATGTGACCTTGAATATGACCTTTAACCTACATTTTATGGTGAAGTGCACTTTTTTTTTCCTAGCTTGCTTTTAATACAGATAAAGTATTAGTAGCATGTTAAGAATATTGCTGCTTTTCATATGTTTGTACAACTAGAAATGTTTTAGTGCTATAGTGATACAAAAAAAGCAATATTTATGATGGTCACTCTTTGGCGACTGACAACAGTATTGCACCATGCAACATACAAGGGCTCTGCACATTGCATAACCTAAGGGTGTATTGCACCACTGTGCAATGCACTTGTTTTAGAAATGAGAAATTCTATTGTCCATGAGTCAGGAAGTAAGAGATACATATATCAGTCTGACATACTGCCCCTTTCTGTAGTGATGATTGTCAGATACTTATCTTGTTAGTTTTCAATATTTATACTTCATAGCTTACAGGATGAAACCAGAAATTCATATGTATCACATGATATTTAGATCAGAGTTAAAGGGATATCAAATCTTCATGTGAAATTCATATTTTCCAATAAATGCATTATAAACAACTGAATTATACAGTAAAAATATATTAAATTCCATTTTATTGAGAAACAGGTTATTGCAATTATTCTGGATATAGTGCTTGCCATCAGACCGTGTGGACCTTCATAGATGGCTGTACCTCCATAATAATCTCCTCAGACATGATTAAAAAAAAGAACCAACTTCTTAGAAAAAAAAAACATGGACCAACTTTGCATGTAGGAATGATTTCATTAACCATTGGTTAGTATGGGGGAAATCCATTTTATGTTATCCCTAATGACTCTGATGAATTGAATGGCTTTGGCCATATCAGAGGAAATAATTGATTTACTGCCTGTCACACATATGCAAGTATGTAGTAGTTTTTACCAACATACATGCAAAGTTACCCCTCCTCCCCCCCCAAAAAAAAAAAAAAACAGAAAAGAAAAGAAATCCATTAATTACAAATTTAAATAACAAAGAAAACCAGTGCTTTCTAATTTTAAAAATGATGTAAAGATACCCACATGCATTAACTCATTTGTTTCTTTCTCTTTAGAAGAAGAAGATTGAGACCAGTTATGGTCCAAACATGGTGAGCATTGGAATTCAGAATGAGTCTGGTACACAGAGTAGAAGTAATAGGAAGCCCAGGAGTAAAACTATTATACTGGTGGATGCTGCAATACAGACAGGTTTGTGCAGAAAACATAAGTTGGAATGTATATTACTTCACCCCACCCCCCTCTTTTTTTTTTTACTAAGAAAAAGTTAATTTTGCTATTTCAGTTGGTAAGAGTTAATAGTTTAAAAAATTGATAAGATCGTTCTTTGCACTGTTTTTAAATTGGCCTTAATTAGATACTGGGGGATGCGTCAACATCTTAGATATTTTTTATTAAAAAATATGTGGGCAAATTTTATATAGATAGATAGATTTAGATTCTGGCTTTAAATATTTTTTCCAGTATTATTTTCATGAGAAAATATTTGGTTTCTCTTTATTTAGATTTTGCTGATGACATAGCCAACTTAACATTAGCAGATAAGCCTAATGCACTTTTTAAGAAATCAAAAATGAGAGCTAGGCGGAAAAATGAACGCAATCCAGTAGGGACAACTTCAACTGATACAGAAGTAGATTCTGACAGTGGCTACAGTAGTCCACTGCACCGAAGAAATCAGATCTCAAATGGGACTCACCCAGTAGTAATCTCTCCACCTCCACTCAGTTACTCACAGCAGGGAGGAAGTGCAGCAGCGGTAGTTGTATCAGGGAATCAGTATTTAACAGATGCTTGTATCTCACAGAATGGACTGGATCCAGCATACTGTGATTCAACAGAAACAATGGTCAATGGTTACAAGTCTCAGACACAGAATAGTGGGTTATCTACCCCCATTAGTGGAATTTCAAATGCTAGAGGGAGTTTATCAGGAACAGAACTTTTAGAACCTAACAATGGTAAGAAAAAGAAACGGAGGAACAGGAGGAGAAAGCGGAAAGACAGTGGTCTATCAGAGCCTGGTGCAATGAGTGATGGTGCTCCAAGTTTAGAGTATCCCTTGTCTAGCTCAAATATATCTCGCACATCCACAGACCAGCTGAATTTAGAAGGAAGTGATGGATGTTTGCATTTCGAAGATGAAGAGGAGTTCCCAGAATTGTCTGGTCCTGCCCAAAGGTTCTCCCATTCCTCTGGAGACAAAGTGACATCCTATAGTGATATTCTGAAAATGCAGGTAAGGTATAAAAAGTTGTAAAGTAACATCCCTAGAAGGTATTTGGCATTTGCATGTTATATAATGTGTCGAGTCATGAGTTTAAAAGGATAGACCTGTCAGTGCAATGTAAAAAAGTCACAGATAAGGGGAAGCTGAACAGAGAAAGATTTATGTTGGGCCTTGTTCTTTTGTCCCTTTCACTGTCCTCCAGTCAGTGTGATCAAGTGAGCTATGACTTATCTTTTTTATTGCCAGATGCCTAAAGCACTTTTTTCTGGGTTTATATAATTGGTTTATAATATTGGTTGAAAAATGAACTAAAAGTAAAAGATGTCGGATTGACCATAGATGGTAATTGACATCATTCTAAATGGTCAATAAAGAGACTGACAACTTTGTTAGACTGTTGTGTAATAGACTGCAATTTGACAGATCCTTTTGGATACAAGTAGTTGTGATGTTTATTAAAATGATTTGTCAGTATGTAACTGTCTTGTTTACATACTTCTGCCTAGAGCTGAAATACCATTTTCATGGCAAACAGCTACTCAAGCTGTCTTTTAAGTGTCTTTTTTTTTTTTTTTTTTTTTTTTAAGATTGCAAATTTTAAAAGTATTGTGCCTGCATTGCATATTTGGAATCAGATTTTTCATGATAATTCTGTGTCAATATATATGTTTTACCAATGTTAAGTTGAACATTTTAAATATATCCTCTAAAACAGCTGTTACTAAGAAAATACAAAGTCCTTAGCATTATCATTATCATTATGCTAGTCGGTAACATTTGAGGTGCCTGTCAGCCTAAATGTTTTTTGGTATCAGTCTTCACATTTTCACAACAGTAATCTAATGACTAAACCAAAATCTGTTTATGCACCTCTCACTGTAGAACCAAAGGAAGTATGGTTTGCATTTTGTTCGACGATTAAAGCCCGATGGCAATTGACAGTTTTGTAGTGCAAAAAAAAATCAAAATGGAAAAAAAGGTTCAAAATGTTTTTCAAAAAGCTTAAACATGGTGGCCAATCATATTAAGGGAAACCTCTAAGCTACCGCAGGGACAGTATTGATGCACTGAGATATAATATCCACAGCAACTTTAATTCTTATTTCTTTTCTTTACAGAATACTTCACCCCTACTGAATGCTGAAACATTTCCAGCAAGTGTTGCAGGTAATTTGTGAAAAGGGCGTTTTTTATTCTATACAAGTTCATTATTTACCCAATTTATTTGTAAATTAATCTATTTGCCATAAACTTTTTAAAAATAAGTTTTATGATACTTTAGTATATTGAGTTTTTATTGGTTTCATTGTTTATAGCATCAAAGGAAGGGAAGAATGCCCGCAAGAGACGAAAGCGGCGTGAGATGGCTAACAGGGCTGCTGAAGATGAATTGGCTGAGATTACAATTGAACAACAAATGTTAAAAGAAATTGGTTTAAAGAAACAAATGCAGCAGCAGGCTGCTTCAGGGAAGAAATCAAAGCAACCTATGACACTTAATATTGCTGATATGATTGATGCTTTAGAGGTACTTACTATTTCATTTTACTGATAACACTTCAGAGATGCCAGTGAATTATCGATAATTGAATAAAATTAAACCTCCATGCATTTTAATTATTTTGTAACTTTGAATTTCCTGCTGCCCTGTAGGTTTTTAAAAAATAACCAAAATATGATAAATTATATTTTAATTTTCCACCCAAGATGAAAATTCATTCCACTTTTCATCTAAAATTATCCTGTTTAGAGTTTACACAAGTCTGAGTATTACCAAATCTTGTGTTAATAGTATGATGTGGGTTGATTGTTTTTTTTTTTTACAAAATTTTACAAGTAAAAAGATGAGCATATACATTCTGTATAATGAGACTTGCTTTTTATTTTTAGAAACAGCAAGAGAAGGACAAGAATAAACAGCAGAAACACCCACCTTCAGTTGTAAAGCCAAAAGAGCTGGTAATTGGATTTAAAATGGTTTTGTATTAGTCAGTAATTCTTGGATGATATAACTTAAATGACATGCACATTGAATGGCTTTAAAAGGCAATTCTTTACAGTTAATTCTTTAAGAACAGAAACATCAGGAGTGATTATGTCAACTTTGCGATATTGTGTGACCAGACAGTGTCATGATTTGCTATTATATGTCACATTTTCCACATCATTTAATGTATTTCTTTCCATCAGAACCCAGTCACTCCACATAATGTACTAGACAGCAGTGCCCCTTCTGTCAAAAGGGGAAAAGAGAGAGAAACTGCAAAGAACAAAAAGCCTAGTCCATTGAAAAAGGTTTGTTCAAAATCTGGCTCTTTATACTTTAAATAATATACTTAAAAAAATACTTGAGAATATGATTCAAAGTTGAGAATAAGGCAAGCATTCATTGCTAGAGAATGTTCATTAAAACTAACTTCTCTGAAAAAAATTAATTGTATGATTAACAGTTAGCATTTAAATAATTTTTTCCTCAAGTATTTGTTCAAAAATCATTACTTAAAAGAGATTCATTTTCTCCTTGTCTGCTTTGGTGATGCACAGGTTATACTTAAATGTCTTTCATGTCTTCTCCATTATTATTTATATACCAATTTTGATTCAAAACTGAGATAAATTTTTACTTAACTTGTTAGGTAATCTTGAAAGAAAGAGAGGAGAAAAAGAGAAATAGACTACTTGACGTTGGAGACAATGTTGGGTGAGTGTTGGCCTGATAAGATTTTATCAGTAGGGAGCCTTCATGTGCAACTTTCTAATATAAGCTCCCGAATGGTAATTACAGGGAATGTGCTTGGTCATTGCCATCTTTTTGTGGGGAAGGATGGGGGTGTTCACTGAAGCATTAAGTAACTTGATAAACCATTAGTGCTTACAGGTTGCATGTAGCACATTTTCTGAATGCATTAATAAACCCTCTAGTTATGTTTGTATGGTTCATATGAAAATATATATTGACCCCCTTCTTTTTTCAGTGCTGCATGTAGTATAGGAAATATGGGCATGTCAGTGGACAGTGACTTGTCCCAAGAAGGTAAATAAATTGACCATTGTAACTAATGGACAACTACTTAATTTTAGAGCTACTTGAACATAAAAAAAAGTATGTATGCAGCTTGTAAAATTTTGACCACTGCCGTGATTTAATGAAGAAATTATACTGCTGAAAACAAACCTTAAATTAATGCTAAAATACATTATGTTCCAGCTCTAAGTTGTAAAGGCTCTAGTTTTGAAAACAGTTTGGAGTCTGGCACCCCTGCTAGTGCAGAACTTTCGCCTGTCAGCCAGACTTCTCCAATCTGCATCAGCCCCCCATCCCCAGGGGGAAGTCCTCTCAGCTCTGGTGTAAATAGTCCAACAGTGGGCACCAAGGCTCTAAACTCCAAGATTGTCTCTAAGATTCACAGCAGGAGATTCAGAGAGTAAGTACTATTTTCCTACGTTGTATTAATATGGCAGCTGCTTTGGCACAATATCTACTTACCATTTGCTATTTTTCAAGCGTCATGTGTTATGAAGGGGTGTGATTGCAATTGGCCTGGTGCATGTCCTTAAATATTTTATTTGATTATATTCAGGTACTGCCACCAGGTGCTTGACAAAGAAATAGATGACTGCTGCACACAACTGTTACAAGAACTGGTGCGGTTTCAAGATAGGCTCTATCACAAGGATCCATCAAAGGTGAATTTACCTATCCTATTCCTGGGCTCTTTTGCATTACATACCTCTGCATTTCTGCCCGTTTTTTTTTTTTTTTTTAAATGCAACGTATGCAACTTAATAATAACCATTTTTTTCCGTTTAGGCTAAATCTAAAAGGCGGATAGTCCTCGGTCTTCGCGAGGTTACCAAACATCTGAAACTCAACAAAATCAAAAGTGTGGTTATCTCTCCCAACTTGGAAAGGATACAGTCTAAAGGTTTGTACTTGAAAATCTGTTGTTGAACTTTTTTTCACTTTGAACTTGTTATTTTTTATCAGTAGTATTCTTTGAGCTGTTATAAAAAAGTTATTTTTGGTAGTTTTTTTACTGTTTGATTTTTATAAATCTAACAAATAAGTTTTATTTTATTTAGGTGGCTTGGATGATGCCTTGCACAACATCTTAGATCTTTGCCAAGAACAAGATGTACCATTTATATTTGCCCTGGGAAGAAGAGCATTGGGGCGTGCCTGTGCCAAATTAGTTCCTGTCAGTGTTGTGGGGGTCTTTAACTTTGAAGGAGCAGAGGTGATTAACATTTGAAATGAGATCAACATTTTTGTCCATTAAGTCATAGACATTGTTTTTAAGTGTTGTTCATTTAGTTAAACTAACTGAACTGACTTTGAATAACTGAGACCTAATATATTACTCTATTATTTTTAATGTTCTTCGCCATATTTATTAATCTGTGTACTATATATTTGATGTATTTCAGACTCACTTCCATAAATTGGTTTCCCTCACAGAGAAAGCCCGTCAAGTTTACAGAGAAATGGTCACAGTGTTAGAGAAGGAAATTCAAGAAAATCCCATGAAAACATCACCTACAGTTCCGCATTTATATGCCCATATGGGGCACTCACGCACACCCTCTGCCTGCAGTGCAATCTCCTTCACAAGCTCCATTCTTTCAGAGCCCATATCTGAAAACTACCCCCAGTCAGAGCCAGAAACTGACAGTAGAGGGTACGAGGTCACAAAACATGGGGAGAATGGTAGCAAGCTGGACAACGAAATGCAAGGTGGGGATTCTGAAAAGATCACTATTATTGAATCAATTCATGAGATTGATGAGGGGCATGAAGCTGACACAGAGGATCTGGAAAGCATGAAGCCACAAGTTCATAGAACTCCTACTCCTGTTGAGAGTGACAAGGGAGTGGAACTGGGTAATGCGGATGTTTCCGTGGAAAGTGATGATGGCTTACAAGACAGTGTAAGAGCTACAGACTTACCTTACATTGATTCTATTCATTCTACAACGACAGCAACCACAGATAGTACAACAGATGTTGTATCACAGCAAACCTCAAATACTCTGAATAGTTGTGATGGTGAGAGTTGTAAAAGTTTCAAGGAAAACAAAAAAGAGATTAGGTCTCCTTCTCCAACTAAAGAGGCTTCCATTATAGATCTGAAGTCAGATCTCATTGAGGTGGACCTGGGAAACTCGAACAAACTTAAAGCTATTAACAAAGACAGGATTGAAACATGGGTGGCAGATTGCATGCAGCAACTAAGCTTAGAGGGTGATGAAGATGACACTATTCAGAACAATATCAAAAGTGACAGTGAAAAGTAGGTCAATTGAGATTGGCATAATATTGATTCTGGATTTCATTTTCATCTAGAAGATTAACTTTTTACTGCACTCGATACACATATGGTTATTATTGTCAAGAGTGTTGACATATCATCACTTTATTGAATAGCAGATTGAATTGTCAAACTAACAATGGGTAACTCATTTTGAAATGAACATTTTCCTTTCTAGTCGTACTGGTATTTTTAAGCTGGAAATGTGATGTTTTTATTTTATTTTTGACCACCTGTCTCTAAAGCTGTAATGTCTGTACATATCTGTAGTGGTTTGGGGAAGGTTGAGGATTACTGCTGAATTTTAAGGCCCATCATCACACAATTATTGCCTTTGAGATAGTTATTAATTTTGGGGAGGAATTATTCAACATTAGTATTTGCAGATATTTTATTCTAATTGCTCAAGTTTGCTACAGTTGTGATGGGAAAATGTGTATTTTAGTGCCAGGTATGTATTCTGATAAGTGTACATATCCCCTATATAACTGTGTGGTTTCTGGTTTATGTACTATTGAATGTACTCGGAACTGTGTTTTGATTGTAAAAACAATGATAGAAGTGAAAGCAATCTATTGCCAAATCATTGAATTGCTATGTATATTGGTTTGTGGATAAATGTAAATATATCAATACCATAGTACTTAAATATAAGCGGTGATCAGCTAGTTAAGTGATGAGAAGTTTGCTTGAATGTATATTTGTGAATTTGGACTTTTTAGTTGAAAAACATTTCAATATGTTTGTTAGGCTACAATGAATCTTATGCCTTGTATTCCTTGTCAGTGTTAATGAAAATGTTCAAGGTATTTTGGATTTAAATACAGTTGTTATTTGTCATGTTCGTTTCTGAAGATGTGAATTGGCTTCAGTGGGTAAAAAGTATGAAGAATGTTCTGAAGAACAATTTTCAAGATTAAAAAGTATTTAAGTGTTTAAAAAACTTTGTTTTTAATTGATTTGTAAAATGTAAGTTTATTGCATTTTCATGTACCTATCTAAGCTATGAACAAATCACTATTTTTGGAGTAAGAAAAATTGTATCATTATGTAGGGAAACCCAATTTATGTCTTGCCCAAAGTAAATTTCACTAAACATTCCTTGAAAACATAAGGTGCATGAAACTATTTTTAATTTCTCAAACGTGTGCACTGTAATTTACCAAAAACGTAGATTCACTGGCTTTTGTCATGTTCAAGCACAGGAGGGAATTCCTCATTGCTTTTTCATGTCCACCAAAAGTAAATTCTATCTATAGTATGAACCAAAATATCCAATCCTGCCTCTTGTTCATAAAATTGTATAATGCATACATGTAAGGGAGAAGAGAATTGAGGATTTAGATAATATTGCAACTTCCTATCTAGCTACTGGAAATGTTCTTTTCCAGTGGAGATTTGAAACCACGAGTCCTTGAAACAATTCTGTTCATAAGATTACTTCAGAAAGGGACAAAGTGATAATAATCTGTAATGTGCACAGTTGAAGTTTGTCTGCATTGAATCATTTTCCAAGTGGCATGCAGTCAAACGATAGCAAGTACTGTAATTTAAAAGATTATTGTAGAATTTCCAAAAGCACAGGTAGCAACGGACATGAGCCAGTTTTTTTTTTTTTTTTTAATCAGCTGAGAGTCCTGGGACACCTTAGGTCCCACAGCATTCAATGAAAATATCCAAATTCCAGGATTCCACTAAATAAGTTGCATTTATAACAGAATGATCATAACTGCAAGTGTATAGATATACTATGACTGACCAACTGATAATCTTCATTGACTGGGGGTTTCGTAGTTTTCACTAAGATTGTACGAATTCAAACATTTTAAAAATAGTTTTATTGAATAATTAAAAATGCCTTCACATAATATTCATAATAAATTATACCCTTTCAACTGAAAAGTTTGATTCTAAAACCTCAGCCTGGAATAATGACAAAATTGAGCTGAATCTAAAGAAACTGCTGCAATAACATGCTAAACATTGCTTTAAATTATGACAAGGATGAAAAAAAAAGACCACTCCAACATTTGTCAGCTTTTTCGAAGTAACCAAGAAATAAAATTGTGGATCAAATAAATCGCTCCTACTGGCACATCGCACAATGCTTTAAACAAGAAGAGCTATCAAAATAGATGCTTCTTTTCAGTGTAAGTACAAACATGACTTAAATGTTTTATTATTTAAAAAGAATATTCATAATGGATCATTTTTTCCATTGGCAACATTTGAGCACCACCTCCTGACCATACACAAAGGTCAATGTAATAGCATGGATTTACTACTGATAAAGTCATTACCTACAAAAAGTGATGTGTAGTCATTCTTGTAATGGAAGTTCTGTAAGAAAGCAATTCTGTTGTTTTAATTTTTAGTTGTATTAAGCATTTTACCTAAAAAAATATTTGTATGTTAGTTTACTTCTCCTGGCTGAATTGTTCTTTTTCAATAATGGAATCTATGAAAAACATCAAGTTGTTTTTAAGTCCAAAGATAGATTGCATTAAGTATGTTTTTAATTTTTTAATTCAATTCATATTCTGAATAAACTCCACATTAAATTTTCCAAAAGTAACACCTGTCACCCAATAAAATTTAAAAAATTCCTCCATATTTTTGTAGTACCATTTCAATCTAATCTTTTTCATGGACCTAGGAGCACTAGTACCAACATCATCTTCAACCTGAGAATGATATTGTGATCATTACGAACTGGTAATAATCACAAAGAAATGCAACTTTCAGATGCTGGAAATTCTAATTAATTATAAATGGAGGTAAATTCAAATCCCATCAGTTATTGTTTTAACCATATAAATCTACTTTACCACTTAACCTTATCTTTGAATTCTTCTTTTACGCTGAATTTCTTTATGCTCTCATATAAAAAGATAATAGTAAAAGAAAAGGGCAGCGAGTGTGCCAGGCGAGCAGATAATCCCTTGTAAAACATGCTCATCCCCTCTTCCTTCCACAATGTTCTAGCTGTATAAATATATGTCTTCCTTTCAGTCTGAAAATAACAAAATGCTGTTAGATGACAGCCACAATAAAGTAAGCAATTCATTTACACATATTACAGACATCATACAAATTGATTATGAAATGCAACATACGTATCCATTTGTATAGTCATGGATGTCAACCATATGCTAATCTATATATATATTTATTTATCTATTTATTTGTCTGTTCTATGTTATAGTTACTAGTATTGTAACTGATTGTACCTTTATGTGAAGGTGTTTGTCAATAAAGAATCTGAATCATATTTGTGTCTGTATCACAGCCACATATTACAGACATTATCATACATATTCATACCTATACCCGGCAGTGTACCACAGCCTATAGTCAGATGGAAACTTTTTATTACTTGTTAAATAGACAGTTTGTGGGATCTTAGACAGAAAAACAATATAATTACAGGAAATTTTTTCATAAATCTTCAATTAATTTTTGATGGAATTCAAACTGACTTTTGTGACAAGAAACTTGTATAATCCCACACGTAAGTCATACAAGGATGTTACCTGTATTCTAAGTCTAATTATATCTAAAACATTGGTAACACAGGTCGCACAGATACCAGCTGACAGTCCTGCGCCACACTGTATGCCAGTCATGGGGACTTTGGCAGAGAGGTAGTATGTCAATATGTCTGTAATAAGAAAGATAGAACGAATATTAATGAATACCACAAGTGATACAGCCTTTAAAACCTTTTCAACATAAAAAAGAGACTTATGCATCATACTTTATACTGTGTGAAATATGTTTATGTGATATTAGATTCCTGTCTGCAAACATTTCTAATAACAAGGCCATTTACTTTCCAGTACAATGCTGAGTTATTCATCCTAAATCCTATTGTTATAGGAATTGTTCAATTACTAGGCATCATACCCGAGTTATATCCATAAATCCACCACCACAAAGCACTACTGGGTATGACCATACTCAAGGTTGCAAAATACCCTTTCCACAGGGCAAGTGGACCTTCTGACCTCCATAGGTGCTGTATAATGGCCAGAGAAGGATAGCTTTGCTTATACACTTCAGGTGGAAGGGCCTTCATATGTGTCTTTTTAGTCTTGTGTCCTAGTTGTCTGTATTGCACCACATTATCAACTGGGACGCCTAAAGTTTGACCAGCTATGGCGGCGGAAGCACCACCAAGGCCAAAAAGCAAGTACCTGTTGTGTAAAAATTCAAACTTTTCCTGTGTTGATAGCAGCTGGCGTACATTCTCATATGTCCATATATATACTATACCAGGAATAATCTGTGCATTTTGTGACAAAAGTCCCCTGTACAACCCTCGTACCCCTTCTTTCCGAATTATCTTGCCAAAGGCATCAAGGGTGCCATTGTACACAGCAGTTTGAGTCTGTGCTTGAATCCTGGTCTTTATGAGAGAAAAAGGGTAAACTAATGCACGTGTAGTTATTCCAGATGCACAAATCAAAGGTATATATTTATAAAGGTTTAACATATCCAAACCTATAACAGGTGCCTCGCTCAGAGCGTGCATTTTTCACCATGTCATCAATACAAGGGTATTTTATGCAACATGTACCTGAAAAGATAGCAAAAACTACACATGTACGTACTTAAAATAATTTCAAGAAATAAAGGACCTTCATTTTCAATATGTTTTTTTATTCTTGCAAATAAAATGACTTTTTCTTTACAAGCCCTCATAATTTTAAGTCACACAATAAATTACAAGGATAAAATGGATTAAAGAAGCATACTTCCAAACATACTGTAAGAAAATACCAAATGTTAAAAAGTAATACATTCTGGCTATTCAACATTGTGGAATGGCACATTCATTGAAGAATTCTGACAAAAATTAGAAACTTACCCTATATATTGACTTTTTATATTTTCAACTTCTCTGTGCAGGAACACGTATACCATAGCCTGAAAAAATTAACCATATTAATCTGTGTCGCTTAGAATTAACTAAGAGAACACACGCACACACAGCTTGGGCATTAGGCTATTATTAGCGACAAAGAATAGGACTAGGGCTTGCAGGATCTGGATCCAAAGAGATAAATGAAGAGATGAGAATGCATCGTGAGCGCACCAAGAGAAAAGGGTACTTTTGTAGTATACCCCCCCACCCTGTAACTTTCTGTAACTTTCACTTTTCAAACAGTTTTTTACATTTTCTTGTTCATCTATGTCAAAGCTATTTAAATAAAATGCTTTTGTAATTACCTGTGGTCTTTTTCGAGTTTTAATCAAGTTTCATCCAGCCCATTGAAATACATTGTGAGAATCTACCATGCATCTTGCAGTGAATAACTTTCCGCGTTTTCATTGGCTAACTCTAAGGCTACATGACTTGCCAGACTCAAGTTTTGTACTTATCATCCCTATTATGTGAAAATGATTTCATGTGAACAAGAAGCTAACAAATTTCACAGAGGAAGTCCAAGTATACAATGTATAAATCTGATTATGTTAAGAAAGAACATGAATAATAAAAAGGGACTGATGTTGACTTCAAGTTTTTATTTTCATTGAGAAAACAAAATGTTTTATAATGATGGGACATCACACAAGCTTCATAATCCTTTTAATATCTACTGAATTTCTTTAAAACAATTTTCAAATGTGTTTTCCCCACTGTCTATAGTACAAGTCAAAACTGAAAGTCATGTAACCTTAGAGTTAGCCAATGAAAATGCGGCAAGTTATTGACTGCAAGATGCATGGTAGATTCTCACATTGTATTTCAATGGGCTGGATTAAACTTGATTAAAACTTGAAAAAGACCACAGGTAATTACAAAAACATTTTATTTAAACAGTTTTGACATAGATGAACAAGAAAATGTAAAAAACTGTAAAAAACTATTTGAAAAGGGAAAGTTACAGGGTGGGGGGGTATACTACAAAAGTACCGAGAAAAGTGTAGAAAGGGGTTACACCCACGTTTGATTGACATTTGTCTCGGGGTAAAATTAAAACTGACCGGGCCTTCACGGAATAAAGACCTGTGTAAAGTGAGGCAAGACCGAATAAGAGAAGTCCCACAGAGTAAATTCCCAGAGGTCTTGATCTCTTGCGGTATCAAAACTCTTGCAGGTTCTCTGGCATTTCAAATTCAAGCGGCCATGACTATTCAGACACAGGCAGTTTCCCCATGTCTGCATTCGTATTCGCTGTCTTTCCCAAAAATCTACAAAATAATGCATCTCCAAACTGCCGGATGAAATCTTACCGAAAATACTTCAGTGAGTAACTGTCCCAGTTCACAAGAAACCGTCTGATGAGAACATTACTCTGCCAAGGTCAATTTTTTAACCAATCCCTGTTGGTTTTACAAACAGGTTTTTGGGAGACTAGACTCGTTTTCGATATAACAAAAATAATCCAAGGTTTTTCATACAGTATTGCTCATTTCCATAACGAGACTTAAATTGGAGAATGATAAACATTTCTCGTGATCAGCCGTGATATCGTCATTTCCTATCATGGCGGCTGGACCGAAGGGTACGTAACTATGATTATGAAGCATATTTATGCCTGGGAGGCATTTAGATTTTCGAGGACAAATTCAGTTACTATTTTTCATCGTACGCTTACTGTTATTGTATTTTTTACTTCTGGTCACTTAAGCAGGTGATAGCAAAGAACAATCCCCCACCTAATCTCTTGTCATTCTGACCCAATAAGAACTTACAAGTGTCAGTCAGTCCGTCAGTCAGTCATTCCGATAAATATGTCTTTTGATAGTGGTACGGACATGTTTAAGATAGGTTTAATTTTCAAGATGATACAGTTTTAATTGTCAGAATAATATTATCGATACGTAGTTACGTATATGTCGCTGTATTGGCGAGTAATGTTTGATAAAGATATAAGGTTCAAAGGTCAAGGTGTGTGAATGTCGAACCAAAAAGAAAACCCATGTCTCTTCTCCTAAATTACGTTATGTAACATAATCGTGCCTGTGCTAGAGAATGGAAAAATGTACAGATACATGTTGTCACAATTATCACATTTCACAGACTGCTGAAAAAATTGTATTTTTTGCTACTGATTAACGTGCACACTAATGTATTTGTTCAAATAAATCTGCCTAGCAAAACTAATCTTCTGTAACATATTAATGGAGTCCATTGAATGTCACTACTCTCAAGATGTGTGATCTCTGAAGAAACTGTGGGTGTGTTGAAGGATTCAATGAAAGTAGACAGTCATTCCCAATTGAAGTACACTCAGTGATGCTTAATGACACTTATTTCATTTGTTCCTTAAAGCAGGAGTGAACACAAATATGCTTTTTAGTATGTGCACACCCTAAACTTGAAATGGAAGTGCTAGAGGTCAAAATTAAAGCCAAGATGTGAAAATTTGCAAAATGATATTATAATATATTTATAAATAAATCATACTAAATTAAGAAATTTGAAAAAAAAAACATTTTTCCTTCACACAAAATGGTTTTTATCATTATTATCATTATGAAAATAATATTTAAAGAGCTGTAGACTATGGAGAGTAAATTGTAACCAGTTATTAGTTAAACACGCCCATATGTAACAGCTGTTCTATCTATTTCTACATATGGTGTAATTCATCAGATGGAATGGATTTTGTTTTGGGAAAACACATGTATATGATGTTTCCTTTTTAGTGCAACACATTTTCTTTGAACTTTGATATATAACATAATAATGATGCATGTTGCTGCATGTCTTTCTGTATTAATTCAGGCTTAGTTTTTTAATCAAGTCATAGTGTATGTAACATGAGCCAGATATTGGGTAGGGACACTTTTTTTTTGCTTTTAGGTCTTACCCTTCAATACCTAAAAAATTCCAGTAATGAATGCTTATATTACTGGTAATAGATCTGTCTAATATGTTTTTTTTTAAAATAAATTTCAGACAATCCTTTCCCATCCCACCTGCAGACATTGACTGTAGACTCCAAGGATTACAGGTACTATAGTTTACCAGCCTTTCAGGACAGCCGCTATGGTAAGTCCAATGTAAATAATGTATTACCCAGGTGTAGACGCATATTGTAATGCATTTAAGACTTGTTCATGCATAAAAAGTTATGTGTGGAAGAAGGCATTCATGAGTGAGAAATGTTTAAGTATCATGATGACCTTCACAGGTTGGCAAAGAAAGTGGAATGTTCTGGAAAACGTGCCTGTTGCTCCTTTTTATACATGGAATGGTTAGTAAACAAAAAATAATAACAGTAGTGATAATGATGATGAAGAGATCAGAAAACTGCTATCAGAATGCTTAGATTTGTGATCCTGTTTTATTTATTTATTATTATTATTTTTTAATTTTTATTTTTATTTAGAAAAGCTCCCCTTCTCCATCCGTGTGTTGTTGGAATCTGCTGTGAGGAACTGTGATGAGTTTCAAGTTAAAAAACAAGATGTTGAAAATATCCTCAACTGGCAAGAAAACCAAGAGAAAAATGTTGAGATTCCATTCAGGCCAGCCAGGGTGATTTTACAAGATTTTACGTAAGTTTTCAATAGCAAAAAATGCAAAGATTAATTTTAAAACTCTTACATAATTGCAAGTAATAGGCAACATCAAAACAAACCTGTGTGTGAATTTTTTTATTGTTATATTTAAAGAGCTTTTTATATGAATGGATTTGAACATCTCTAAATGGTTGGATTGTTACAGAATTTTTGTTTAAGTCAAATTTTGCAGATAAAATTTTTTTCGTCTTCTTTACTAGTGGTGTTCCAGCCGTGGTTGATTTTGCTGCAATGAGGGATGCTGTAAAGAGGCTTGGAGGAGACCCTGAAAAAATTAATCCCAAATGTCCAGCTGACCTGGTTATTGACCACTCAGTCCAAGTAGATGTAGCCAGAAGGTAGATATGTGCTGTGTGATTGAAAGAGTCATTTAGAGAATTGGTGTGTAGATATTTCAATCATGGGTGTCAGATGAGAAAGATTTTCTGAAAACAGTTTTTTATTCTTTTTATTCAAAACTTTTTGATTGTAAAAAATTGATTAAATGTAATTTTTAAATGTTGCCAATATTCTTCTGTAAAATAGATTAATTTAATTCATAAATGTAAATCAGCACAACTCCATGCAATAGAAAAAAATGCCAGAATTCATGAGTTGCATGGGTGTGTAAACTGTTTATGGAATATTATTTTATACAGAGCGGTGATTTGATGCTTGGAATTGACAAGCTTTTGTTTGTGAAAATGAAAATATTTGGATGTGACAAACCACTACTTATGCTTATTTGGACTCACTGAATTATTATTATTATTAATATTATAATTCAATTTTTATATATATTGACAAAATTAGAGAGGAACCATTTAAGTTTTACTTATTGGACTATGATTCATGTCATTACCTCCTTTTTTCAGTCTTCTCAATCGAAATTGTCCAAATCCTGGTGGCGGTGTCAGGAGCGGGTGTATCAGTCGGGCTGCCAAGTCTTCCTTGTGCAATATATGTTTAAACTCAGGCATCCCAGTTTCAGATGAACTTTGTCCATTTCACAATCTAAAAAGCGAGGGGTTCGTACTTTGCGCTATTTGGAAATTTTTTTTCCCTAATATCACATAGCTCTGCATGGCTGGTTGTGTTGGTTCTACATTGTAGTCTGCCTGTCTTATGAAGTAAGATTACTATGCATTTCAAATCGGGTATCTAATAGTTCAGCTTGTAAATATGCTGTGAAAAATTTTTTAAAATTTTGTGTGGTAATCTTACACCAGTGTCGGGTGGTATGTATTTGGTGGGACTGGTTTAAAGATATGCATGTGCTTTATATGTCATGTGTAGATTTAAAGCCAGTTTTGGTTTGGTGTTGTATTTTAATGCTTTATTATTTTAATACATTTAATAATATTACTTTGGAGAGTATTTATTTTTGCTTAAATGTAACCAATGGATGTTCTTTCTATCTTATTGGTTGCAAAGGTTTGTCTGATAGGACCAAGTTTATTTGAAAAAAATTTTTATAATTTTCAAGATGAGCTTGTGAAAATTCAATTTATTGAACTAAATTTTGAATTTGCATGACCTTATATAAATCCCCCTGTAGTGTCTAGTAGGTCGTGTTCTGAAAAACTACTTTTTCATCTGGAAGATTCCTTTGACATTTGATTGACAACTCGATCATGTTGATAAACTGCAGGTGACTTTTTTTTTATTTCATATTTGTTTTTCTTCTGTGCTAATGCCTTAGATGTGTCCACCATATTTTTCTTTATAGTGAAAAAGTAAAACTGTATTCAAATAGACATTTTAACTTGATACTGTGTAGTCTTCATGAATGGCACAGAGTAAGCTTATTTACCGCTGGTTAATCATTACAAGGGAACCTTACTAGACTGATATGCTATAGGCTCTTAATGTGCTGACTTGCCAGTCTCATCAGGATTCCACCTAAAAATTGGCCTTTAAAACCTTATACTTCTTGGGGATTAGTTGGTGGTTTTAGGCATTTTGCATTCAGTGTGCAGGACAAAATCAAGACATTTGTCAGTGTTTAGAGCAAAAATGTATCACAGATTTGTAAGCCCTTTTGTTGCAAAGTGATGCACATATATTTAGGATGTCTTTACATATTCCCTAGTCCTTTTCTGTAAGAACAATGCCTTAAAATTGTTTTGATAATTTTTATGGTAACAGAAAATCTTAAAATGATTAAAACATCGCTGTTTGGAAAAATGTGAAACTGGAGAAAATTTAACTTTGAATAATTAGTAATCTTGTTTAAATCATCATGTACTTGGTAACATTGGTTTTGTGTTTACACATTAAGGTACGTGCACTTTTTAAGATCAAACAGAGCTTCCAGGGGGCTGCCAAACTAACACTTCCACGTGCGAAAAGAATATCAAAATCAGTTGTGAATCTTATGAATTAATGTTAAAGAAGGCAGTCCAGTGCTGCTTCACCTGATCTTGCCATCAACACCATGTGTCCTGCTTCTTAATTGAATTACTAATAATTTATGACAGTGGATTAGTTGTTATAAAGATCCTGTTAATTGCTTATTTCAAAATACCCCGCATAAAATCCTTGGGGGTTATTGTAGGTGGAATCTACTTTTTGCTGTTCTGTTGTATTTACTTAAGCAGCATTCACCTGTTGCTAATGGTTTTATCTTTACTGAATTTTTTTTTTTACAGTTAGTAATCTAAAATAGGTAATTTTTTACTTCTGCATACTAAACTTTGCCTTGCTTTTATTGTGTTTGTAGTTTTTTTTTACCAAACACAAAATGATTGATCATGAAATATAGATGCATAATCTATGCACAATCAAAAAAGACAAAATTATAATCCCAACCAATTATATAGCAATGTTTTAAATTCTTTTCCTGTAATATGATGTTTTATTTCTTTTTGATAACTCATGAAGCATAATAATGCAGCAGGTAGCTTCTTGCAGATTTAACTGTGAAATACTTTGTTTTGCCCCTTGTTTGTTGTAGAAATTTTACAGCAGCATTATGTGCTCTTTATTGAATTATGAATTAACGGGTTACTACATTTTCACTTTGAAAATGATATTCTTTTCCTGACGTTGTATATTCATTTTCTGCTACTGACATATTGCAGCAATGTCCATTGACAGTTTTTCTTTGTTATGTTTAAAAAGAATTTAAACATTTTTTTTATTGCAGTGCTACTGCTTTACAGAAAAACCAAGAATTGGAATTTGATAGAAACAAAGAACGATTTGTTTTCCTAAAGGTCAGTATATTACTATCAACCAGACAAATTCTTAATGTTGTGATTTAACAGTGGGAGTATTTTAGATAAGTGTGCAATGAGAGTTTATACATTGATCCTCATGAACATCGTGCCCTTGATTTATAATGCATGCAAACATGAATTTCAAAGACTATTGTACAATTTTGTTGATTGCATTAAATCAGTATTTTTCTTGAAGATAATTGCATGGTTGTTTGCCTTTATACTTCCCTCTGATAAGTATTTAATTATCAGCTGCTAATGGTTAAAATATGTCACTGATTATCCAGTGGGGAGCCAAGGCATTGAAGAACATGCTCATAGTGCCACCAGGCTCTGGCATTGTGCATCAAGTGAACCTGGAGTACCTGGCCAGGGTTGTATTTGAAGAGAATGGGATACTGTACCCTGACAGCTTGGTGGGCACAGATTCCCACACCACTATGATCAATGGGCTGGGAGTTGTTGGCTGGGGTATGTACAACTTGCAGCTTAGAATTGTAATTTAGTGCCTAGTATTCTTCAGTTATTGTCTCTGTTGTCTATGTATGTAATATCCATACTTTTGCTTATTTTTGTGTGTAGGTGTTGGAGGTATTGAAGCTGAAGCAGTGATGTTGGGCCAGGCCATCAGCATGGTCCTACCAAAGGTTGTGGGATACAAAATTACTGGACAGCTGAGCCCCTTGTGCACATCCACTGATGCTGTCCTTACCATCACCAAGGTAAGTCTTGTATTATCTTTAATGGTAGCAAAGGAGATTTAACTTATGAAATATGCTTCAGCTCAAGGTAAGCATTTCAGTTCACATAACACCATTAAAATATGGGATAAGTATTAGAAAAACTGAAGAAATCCAAACACAAACTCATTTTTAAAAAAATATTTTCATGTGATAAATCCTTAACAACCCTTTTTTTTAAATGCTGCAATATGATGTATATTTTAGCATCTGAGACAGATAGGGGTGGTGGGCAAGTTTGTAGAATTCTTTGGGGATGGTGTGGCCTCCCTGTCCATTGCTGATAGGGCCACAATCTCCAACATGTGCCCAGAGTATGGGGCCACCATAGGCTTCTTCCCTGTGGACCAGATGAGCATGACTTATCTGAAGAATACAGGTGCGGTATTTACCTGCATGGAAGTTGTAATCAGATGTTTTGTTCACCTTTATAATAGCCTCTTTCTCCCCAGCTCTCCCCCCTCATTCTCTCTCTTTTCTCTCTCTCATCTATTTTTTTCTCTTTCTCTCTCTCTCTCTCTCTGCAAAATTATAATATATCAACCAGTCAAAATCATTTAGTTTCACTTCATTCATGTGGTTGTTTATTTGAAATAATCTAGAAAGACATCTGCCTCCTTTTCAGCTCGTGATGAGAAAAGAGTTGCTCTTGTGGAAGCTTATCTGAAGCAAAACAAAATGTTCAGAAATTTCAATGATGCAAGTGAAGATCCAGTCTTTTCTGAGGTATGTACAGTTTGTTAAATTATTCTGAGACCTTTTTCTTCAATGGAAAAACTGATGTCATAAGTAATTTGTTACTCATTGTTTGATGTGTAGATATAATTTCAAACTGCCAAAAGATTTCCATGCAATAACAGACAAATCTCAGGGGCGGATCCAGAGATATTTTCTGACGGTCTTCCAAATTATTTTGTTGATCCATCCTCTTTTTTCACCGTCTTCCAACAGAAAACACCAGATACCCGTCAATGTAAACTTGAAAATCTGACCGTCTTCCGGAGAAGACGGCCTAAATCCGCCCCTGAATCTATTGCAGTATGTGTGAATTTTCAGATAGTTGAACTGAACCTTAGTGATGTGGTTCCATGCTGTTCAGGACCCAAGAGGCCTCATGATAAAGTGCCTGTTGCAGATATGAAGGATGATTTCACCAAATGTCTCAGCAACAAAGTTGGCTTCAAGGTTAGCTTTTATGGAAACCCTTATTATGTCTGATGAAGACAGTTCCGAACTAAAAACGCCTTGAGTTGTATTTAAACATTTCTTTTTATATGAGACCTGACATTATACCTTGTATAAGTATTCAGTTGGTATATTTCAAAAACTAACAGTCACTTCCTTTAGATGTTCATAAAGTAAATCGCATTTTACCAACAGGGGTTTGCAGTTCCACAAGATAAGCTTGCTACCACTGTGCCAATGGTGTTTGAGGGAAAAGAGTACACTTTGACTCATGGTTCTGTTGTCATTGCTGCTGTCACCAGCTGTACCAATACCAGCAATCCATCTGTTATGCTGGGAGCAGGTATGGATTAGTGGTTATGTTCAGTAAGACTGAGACATGACAGGGTTTGAATACAGATAGAATACAGATTGCCCTTTATAGAATGCAATGTCATTATATGAACAGTGATGCCTTATGCAGTTCGGGAATGAACATGATTCCAAGTAATATTTGATTTGTGTCATGTAAAATTCCAAGAAAACCAATGTTAGTTGCTCTTGTGCACTATGGATGATAGTCTATACCCGCAGCATAACAATATTTTAGTCTGATTTTCCAGATTATTCTACCTCTACAATTTTGATTGAAATCAGAAATGATTGATCTGAACATTTTTTCAGGCTTGTTGGCTAAAAAGGCAGTGGAAGCTGGATTAAGTGTCAATCCATACATCAAGACAAGCCTGTCACCAGGAAGTGGTGTGGTGACCTGTTACCTGAAGGAGAGCGGGGTCATGCCATTCCTAGAGACCCTTGGGTGAGTAGAAACAAAGCTGAATCTTATTTCATGGTTCTTTTAATCATATTTGTATTGTTTTGTTGCTATTATATTTATGGTTATTTATGACAAATAATTTGATTTTTTTATTTTGATAATTAAACAGTAATTTATGTGATTCATGCAAGCAAGACACATTTCATCATTTGTAATTCCATGTCTGTATTTCCAATGATCGTTACACCATTGCATTCAGTCATGCATATTTGTAATTGCAGGTTTGATGTGGTTGGCTATGGATGTATGACCTGTATAGGAAACAGTGGACCACTAGCTGAACCTGTGTCACAGGCCATTGAAAAGGTGAGTACTTCCTTGAAGTCTATGAAAGTTAAAGTAAAATGACTTTGGTAGCACTATAACTTCAGACATGATTCCTTAGCTTTTGCTTGCAATTATAATTTTTCATTTCTGGACATTTCATTCAGAAGCCTGCATTATACAAGATTTTAACATCAACAAGAACAGCTGTACATTACATTACATTACATTACATTACATTACATTACATTACATTATATCTGACTTACAAGTCACTTAAAATTCATATTCTTTAAACAACAAAAAAAATCGTGAAAAAAGTGCCCATCCACATCTTCTATAACATTGTCATTTCAGGGTGATCTTGTTGCCTGTGGTGTTCTGTCTGGAAACAGAAACTTTGAAGGCCGTATCCATCCTCTGACCCGTGCCAACTACCTGGCCTCCCCACCACTGGTCATTGCCTATGCAATTGCAGGAACCGTGTGCATCGACTTTGAAAAGGAACCTCTTGGTAATTCTTCAATCTGCAGGGGAAATTGCAGAATGTTTTAGTGATGTTTTTTAGAGAATTATAAAAGATCTCTGCATAAAAGATAGTCTCTGTGGTTATATTCAGCTTTTAACTTGGTAAAAAAAAATTAATGTTCTGTATTAGCTTGCTACAGAAGTGTCTTTATTTCTAAGTGAGGAAATTATAGATTCAAACTTGTTTTGTTTTAAGGCATCAATGGAGATGGGAAGCCAGTGTTCTTGAGAGACATTTGGCCATCAAGAGAAGAAATACAGGTGAGTGTTCTTGGTATATAGAATGGACAGGTCTTTCTGGGAAGCCCTGTGCAATAGTAAAGGCCTGGGAATCAAAATGTGTTTGATATTTGATATTCTACTAAGGATATTTTTTGACATTTTATTTGTATCAATTTGAGGCTTTCTTTATTTTATTATTTGTTAACTGATAATTTTTCTGTTTTTAGCAAATAGAGAGAAATGTTGTGGTGCCTGCTTTGTTTAAGGAAGTGTACTCCAGAATTGAGGTATGTCATCAACAGTGATTCTTATTTTGATTTCTATTTTTCTCCTTAGTAAAATGTTAGCCCACTTCTCTTATTTTCAGTTCATGAGAGTTCATGTTTTGATTCAGTGGGATGCAGTGACATTTAAAGGGAAGGAATGTGACCTTTCATAAAAGTTGCTACCTTCACAAGATTTCAAGAATATTATATTTTCCTTGTAGGAAGGCACAGAACGCTGGAACTCCCTTGATGCCCCAGAGGGGATGCTATACCCATGGGACCCTAAGTCCACGTATATCAAGTCGCCTCCATTCTTTGAAACTATGGTATGTGCACCTTCAGCCATAGCTGGTGAAATGATTTATTTAAAATAAGTAATGGGCAATGAGGTAATAAATTTCTCACACTATAAAGTTGTCTGGACATATTTTTACTTACCAACTCTTGAAATATGACATAGATTTCACTGGTGTAAATTTTTATTTGGCACTGAAGAATTGCTCAATTTTTGCGGCTTCAAGTGAGTGTGTGTGCATGCTAACATGCAACGTGTAAATGGCACAATATAAAGAATTGTACTCTTACCTTTACAGACCAAAGAACTGCCTCCAGTGCAGCCTATTACAGATGCCTATGCTTTGCTCAACTTGGGAGACTCAGTCACTACTGACCACATCTCTCCAGCTGGCAGTATTGCCAGAAATAGTCCAGCTGCAAGATACCTAGCAGGAAGAGGGTAAGTCCGGTATTCTTTAGTAAGCCAATCCTCCCAATACACTGCATTCCCAGAAACAGTCCATTTACTAGATACCTGACAGATAAAAGGTGATTGATTGGTTTAAGAGAACTCGACCTTAGCGAATGCCCACATATATTTGCTACAATTTCTACAGTTTCAGAAAATTTTGCATTTGTTACACCTTTCAGTTTCTATTCAGTTTACTATTTTGTATTTACACATCTGTGTTATTGGCTTGAGATTCATCCTGGTGAATTTAAGTATACCTCATTGTTTTATGTATCAAGTTGTGACTGAAAATATTGTTGCATTTTTTCTGAACTGCAGACTGACTCCAAGGGAATTCAATTCATATGGATCACGACGTGGCAACGATGCTGTCATGGCGCGTGGAACATTTGGCAATATTCGTCTGTTCAACAAGTTCATAGGGAAAGCTGGCCCTAAGACTGTCCATGTGCCCTCTGGGGAACAGGTGAGAATGGTTGAAATTTTTAAGAATAGCATGGAAATATTCGACACCAAATTTATTTGGCAATTGCTGGCAAAACTTTTTCAAAGAGATTTTGAGTAGTGTATCAAAGTGTCCATCATTTGTGATTTAAGAGTTCATATTATGGCAAGATGATGGAAAACAGTCTTTGAAATTTCTATAGGTCTTATAAGCACTGTGATTGTATTCATTTTCAGATGGACGTCTTTGATGCAGCAGAGCGGTACCGCAGTGAAGGAAAGAACCTGATCATCTTAACAGGGAAGGAGTATGGGTCTGGTTCCTCCAGAGACTGGGCTGCAAAGGGACCCTGGATGATGGTAAATTGTTGTTTATGAATGGTATTAATGCTGATGAAGATTAGGTCAACAGTCAACATTGCACAAAGATGAGCCATCTTTCCAAGGTTGAAGATTTTTACGTATGATATACTATTAACAATTTGATTTATGTTTTGAGATGAAATGCAAATTATAGTGATTTGCATCAAAGACAAAAGACCAAACCACATCCTTTTCTATTCACAGGGTATCCGTGCGGTAATTGCAGAAAGTTATGAACGCATTCACCGCAGTAACCTGGTTGGGATGGGTATCATCCCTCTCCAGTACATGCAGGGTGAGAATGCAGACTCACTGAACCTCACCGGAAAAGAGACATTTACTATTGACCTGCCACAAGATCTTGCCACTGGCATGGTTGTTGATGTCAAGGTACTTGTCTTTAAGAAAATTGTTTCACCAGTGAATAAGGCAGCATTTTAATGGACAGTTGTATTCCTGTTAGAAAATGATGATTTTATAACTATCAAATTGTCTTAAGGCTATCAGAGTGGGCTCAGTTAAGAATTGCCATTTGTACAATTATTTGCTCTACTTGGTAAAAATTTTGAAATATGAAGAATTAATGGAACAATTATTGTAAGCGTATGTTATTTTGAGTAATTTCTAACTACTTTGACATTTTCTGTTCTCCAGGCAAGCAGTGGCACCACATTTAAAGCCCTAGTGAGATTTGACACCGAAGTGGAACTGGCCTACTTCCGCAATGGAGGCATTCTCAACTATATGATCCGTGGAATGCTGTAACACCTTAGATAAAACTTGATTTAAGGGAAAATGCTGACAATTTTATGAATTCCCTAAAACTTCATCCTTGGTTATAAGCAAACAATACTGCCATAGAGTGATAATGAGAGGTTAATGTTGTGGGTAAAAGGTTATTCACACGTAAACTAGTCTATAAACAATTTGTTGCGATGGTGATCAGTAATTCCCAATATAAATCAAATTTACAGTTATACAGCTGTTAAACAGTGATAGATGATAAATATACTGGATGTTCTAGTATTTTATATGAAAAAATTAAGTAAGAAAAACTACTGAGTTTTTGTTAGATGTTGATTTAAGCTTAAACAATATGGTATAAGTTTCTAGAATATATTTGTAAATGTGACATGGTCTTCACAGAGATATTTAAAACTTAGGTTAGTGCCTAGATGAACTGCTCAAATCAAAGAGATACAAGTACACAAAATTTGTTCTTCTAATTGTGATGCACAACTAGTTGAATTTTTTGTTTTATTTTTATGAAAGTGTGGTAATAACAATCCTGTTAAGTGATTATTATTATAATCACATGGTAATGATCAAAAATCATTTTGAAGAGATGTGGTTATACGTTTGATGAATAAATGGTCCTCTCATATTTATGTGCAACGTGGTAGCTGTTACCAGACCATACCAGTTGTGTAAACATGGGACGGCATATTTACTGAAACTCGCTCTTATATCTTGTTTATTTGTTGCAGTTCTCATGTGTCTAGCGACACGCTGTATTATGTGTAGCCTCTTTACAAGCCTAAAGTCTACTTCAGTTTTCTATCAAGCTGAAGGTGATAGTTGTATTCTGCTTAGAGGTGCAGTCCGTTTCTCATTACTTTTTACAGGTGACACTTCTGACAAAAGTACGCACAGTTCATTGACAACCCCGACATCTTGTCTTTTTAACACAAGTACACTTAATAAGTGAACCGTGTAACTACATACCTTGGCTTTCTTTGTCCCAAAGTGTGACCATGGAATATAACGCTGGTGCTGAACTTACTTATGCCCCGATTTCGAAAATCGGCCAAATCGGGGCATAAGTAAACTCGTCATCTCTTCAATCTCCTTGTGCATGTCTCCATGCTGCATCTCCAACTTGCATTTTTTAACGAATACAGTTATACATTTAAAAAAAAGAGATGAAGAGCAAACGGCAGAAGAACTGACAAGTGGTTCCGAAACTTTTATTATGTATTTGTTTTTGATCTCCCCGATTTGGACAATCCTGGAGAACTGCACCCACTTACCTGTGGAATTTTTTAGCACGTCAAAATCAAGGTACAAGTTGAATGCACTGCAGAATAACTTTGGTCTTATTATCTAAAATTAACCGCCACTACACCATCCACTTGATAGTAAAATCGGTCCATTAGCCTATGTACCGAGATCGTCCCCTTTAAACAGAATTCTCCTCAAGGTTATTTTGTGGGTTGTTGGTACGTGACCAAACTCGTGCCAACCTGAATTTTCATTTTTATTTCCAATATTCAGTTTTCACTACGAGTTGACATCATATTTTATAACTCAAAGAAATGAAGTGAATTTCTTCTGAAAAATTTGTAAACAAACGTCTGGTTTAGTAAATGAAAAGGTTTCTGAACAGACATCTTTCAACAATAAGGGCTATGAGCCTCACGCGGGAGTTGTAAGAAAAGCATTAACATCCTCATTAGCCACGTCATGCGCGAGAATGATGCAGCAGCCCCATCTCTACAGCCATTGCCCCAGACAACGATTGATAAATTGAGCCAATATAGTGATAGCATATTAAAGCTGGACACGAGAAAGACATTCTCCTTGTAGATCTCCCCAGCAAGGCTAAGAACAAGTGCATTATCATGAAAAAACAAAGGCAAAGATACTGTTATCCAAAAATACCGCTTATAATCTTGTGTTTGATAGGCACTTAATCCCCCACTCCGAATGACATTAGATTTTATTATTAAACTTTAACCGACGGGTGTGGTTTTATTTTAAACATATATAATAAGTGCTAGATTTAAGAATATTTTATAAATGATTAAATATATGCCATCTGCAATACAGTACTGAAAGATGGCGTAATACAGCATTGTCCAAAAAGGGATCCATTTTATGTAGTTTACATAAAATATACAACTTACTAAATATCTCACTTTTTGAGCTCCGTGTTCTTCCCACCAGTCGTGGTTACTTCATAATTAACAGGCTTTCCAAATAATTGATGTTGCGTTTCTTCAAAACAACGAATAAGTTTGTATATCAGCATCATGATAGTGGTCACTTGTTGCGCTGTTTTAATTCATCGTTATATAACTTAAAGTACAACATTTTAAAATTGTCTCACAAGATCATTTATTTTCAATCGCAGAAAGGTTACAGTGCTCAAAGAATAAAAAGTTTTAAGAAATGTCAGTTCTTAATTTTGGCACAACCATTTGGCCTCAAAAGGTGTTATTCTCTTAATGTCGTTTATATGCAAGTGTATTTCAAATTGGTGATTACTTTTCATCAAAATTTGTTATTACCTCATTTATATTTTTCATTTTCCTTGATTATCGTATTGATCGTGTAATATGATCCAGCCATATCCAAAGAAATGATAATAATTGGTTCTTCTACATGTACCATCATTTGAAAGTGGCCATACTGCCAGCATACATGGAGCTATTTCTGAGCTGTTCTTTCCTCAGTTCTTCTCCTGGCTAGTAATGCTAGCTTCCCTAATTCATCTAAGAATATTCTATCATGATCTTATATAGCCTAGCTTTGGCCGTGATGCTGTGTCCTTTGTTGTTATTTTTGGAGATTTAACAATAATTTCCTCCCATTCGGTTCTCCAAGATCTTTCTGTCTTCCCACACTTACAATCTTTATTGTTTATCATATTCTCTTCCATCTACGCACAAATCCATCAAATCTTAACTCTTTTAGGAAATTCCCTCAAGTGTTTTTTTTTTTTTTTTTTTTTTTTTTTTTTTTTT